TTGCCTAGAGAAACACAAAGTTTTCCAGAGAGAGGTGTCAATGAACAACTGCTTTTGAGAGAACACGCATCATGCAGATCAAGACACATAAAATGAAAGAAATTAATTCCAGCGCGACATTCATTTCACACACACACACACACACACACACACACACGCGGACGCGCGCGGACGCGGGATGTGATCGCGGCGGGGGTCGAGCCTCGGGCGTACTTGGGCAGGGACTGCTCTATTTCGCTTTTTTCCTCTTTTGAGGGGGGAGGGGGGGTGACAACGTGAGCTTGAGCTTTGGATTGGTCGAGTGTGGCGGGGCACGATTGGCCGGTGGCCGGCAGATTCAATTAGCGCACAAACGGGGCGGCCCCGCGCCAGCCACAACGGTCACCCGTTGTCTCCCGAGCCGAGCTGCTTGGTACATGGGTGGGGGATCCAACCTTTTCCTTGACTATTTTGCGGAACGGACCTTTCCATGAACCATGGCAGCCACAGACGTTGATGCCACCGTCGAGCGGTACGTGCAAGCGTGCGCGCGCGCGTGCGTACGTGCAGCCATCAGTTCCGTGCCTGCGCGAACACCTCATGCAACGATGCGTTTGCCCACCGCACAATGATCTTCACACCCAAGGGCCTTGGACGCATCAAAGGTCGGACACAAGCTCAAGGCGGTGTCGGTCGGGGGCGTGCAACGGTACATTCTCAAAGCTGGCTATGTTACCAAGCTGGGTCAGGTGAGACGGGGGCTGCGCCGACCTTGCACAATGCCCCAGCTGTCCCAGCTGCACCAGCTGCTTTGTATTGCCTAACAAAGGCGACACCCTGCACCCTGCAGATGGTGAAAAACTGGAAAACGCGCTGGCTCGTCCTCTTAGACAACGGTGAGTGCTCCGAGCGGACCTGACCCGCACCTCCAAGATCGCTCCAGCCCCACGGTCTCACCACCACGAGCTTCACCATCCCCATAGGTCAAATGTACTACTACAAGCGTGAAGTACCTGTAGGGCAGGAAAAGCCGCAGGGCGAGCTTGACGTGACCCGGGATTGCGTGGGCATTCTCACCGGTTCGCAAGTGCACGACCAAGACCTTGTGCGCTGGCCTGAGGATACACCACCCAACTGCGGTTTGTGGCGTTGAAGAGCCTGGTTGGCCGCTTGCAACACGTCGATCCGCACAGTGTGCATTAACGCTGTCCTGTTTGATCTCGACACTAGGCTTTGCGCTTAAAATGCGAAGTGGCCGGACCTTCTTCATGGCCTGCGAATCCTGGCGCGAAGCCGAACGCTGGATCGCCAGCATAGCAGGGTCAGCGTATTGGCCAATGGCCCGCCGTTGAACTTGAAGGTGCTTTGACTCTCATCTTCGTGCAAACCATCTGTCCTGCTGTTAGTGTGGCTCCCAATGTACGCTATGAAGATGGTGGTGATGCCGTTCGTGCCATCATGCAGTCTCGGCCCTCCGTGCGCCGCCCTGGCGAAAATAAATCCCACGTACGTGATCTTGCTGGACTTTCTTGAGCACAATGCTGTCTGCGAAGTACAAGAGCCGCCACTACCTCCCCAACATGATCTGCATCAAGCGAATGGCGGTGGTGCCTTTACTCATTTTGGTTGGTCTGGGTGGGAATGTCCAGGTTGACTTGATTCCCGATGAAACGAAGACAGAAGTGGATCAGGATGGCAACCGCGTGTGTTATGTGCACAAGGTAAACTGGGTTGATGCGCCATGCTTGTTCTGGCCTCGCTCAGTCCTCACGGTCAAAACGCTTGGTCGGCATAACCACAGGTTGTGGGTGGTATGGTAATCAAGGAGAAGCACGTGATTGAGAAGAGCTGATCCATGCAAACGCCAATCCCGCCCTCTTGCTTCCTGTCGTACGGGTCGCGTCTGGGCAAAACCTGACTGGGTCTAAACGTGCTGTTGACATGGTTCATGCTTTGCTGTTTATACAGCCCACCTCGCCTGGTTCTTACTTTCCACAAACTCAGTTGTGCACCAAAGATATACACACATACATGGTACACGAAATTCAAGTCATAGGGCTTCGCCTTGCAAGTTCAACTCGGGTGTGATCTCAGCGAACAAGAAGCGATTTACAATGGCGGAAAAAGAATAATGGAGGAAGATACTACAACAAAAAAAAAGGGTGTGGGGGAGGTTACAAGACAGCTCCACGCGATGGAGTCGGGCGCTTGTCCAAACGGGTGCACGGCACACGGGACAGACGGCCGCTAATTTCATTCTACAACGAACGGGTAAGGTCTGAAGGTGGTCGGTTTGCGGCGATGGCCTCAAACAATCGCATTGTATAGGGTAACATAAGAAAGCTTGAGATACAGCAGGTAGGTCCAGTGCACCGTAGCAGCAATGACCCCCACCATGATACCCTGCTTGCCATCGGGTGTTCTTGAGCGTAGCGCAAAGCCCTGTGCACACACGCGGCGCAAGTAGGGCAAGATTAGCAATATGATGGCCAAGCGTCCAGAGAGAGGCTGGTCTGGGCAGCAGATGTTTACGGACCAGTCGTAGTGCGGCCAGGGAACCAATGACGAGCCAGGCCATGTAAAAGTCATACTCGGCAAGGTGCAGATGGCTGATCAGGAGAACAATGCAATAAGAGAACATGGAGTAGCCCTGTTGAATGCGCGTGCGGGATGTGCAAGGAAGCAAGAGATGAGCATCCACAAGAACATGAACAAGAGCAAGCCCTCTGTTTGGTAGAAGAAGAGAGGGGCCTCTGGGACTTGAAGCAGGCTCACACGCACGGTCAGGGCAACAAGTTCAAAGGCGGTGACGTTGGTGTTGAAAATGAAGCCCAAGGTGTAAAGGATGGTGCTGAGCGTCGCCCAAAAGCCAAAGGCCACGGCAAAGGCTGTACCGATGAGCGTGCCCTCGCGGGCCGCGACATGACCATGGGCCTTCATGCCCAGGAGCAGGATGGCCGACAGAGTAAAAGCCAACATGATGGGCCCATAGAGGTCGGCGGGGATGATCTGGGGCACGGAGGAGAACTGTGGCCACAACGACTTCAGGAGTCGATATCGAATATCGGCTGGCTCGACATCAAAGTAGGGGCGCAGCAGGTCAATGCGGGCATACGACGAGTACACGCTTTCCGCGGACTGCTTGCCGGCTTCAAACATCTATCAGGTGCATCATGACGCCCCGAAAGTGAACACACAAGTCTCGTCGTCTTTTTTTTTTTTTTTTTTGCCACACGGGGCAGACGAAACGCTGCAGTAGCTGGGCACGACCAAAATGAGCGGCTTACATTGGCAGCCACCTGCTGGCCCACGGCCGAAGTGAGGCCGTCCATCAGTCCACTGCGTGCCCCCCTTGCACACGAAAAGAAAGCGAGCATCAGCGCCGCCCCGGAGGTTCATGTGAGTGTAACAGGTGCTGATCGGCCGATGGTGGCACATCTGTGGAAGCCGAGGCGCACTTACTGGGGCTTTTCACTGCCAAATTCATCATCCGATCCATACTCAATCTCCACCGCGGTGGACGCCCGCTCAAGCGGCGACATTGGCGACCCCGCCGACATGATCTTTTTAATCGACAACACCGCACCCCGAGAGAGAGAGAGAGAGAGAGAGATGGAGAGAAAATAGAGAGAAAGACATTTAAAATGTTAGAGAGAGAGATTTAGAGAGAGATTTAGAGAGAGATTTAGAGAGAGAGAGATTTAGAGAGAGAGATTTCAAAAGATTTAGAGATTTAGAGAAAGAGCATTGAGGAGACGGCGAGAGACCCGGTGTAAGTTTTGGCTCAGCCTTGGGGGTGTCGGACAAACGCAAATGGAGGCTTCTCCTCGTCCTGGTAAATTTATTCGTTGGTTTAGGCGATGCGGGTGGGGACGGGCAACGCGACGACAGACGTGACAAAAACAAAACACAGAGCAAAATCCAAAACGGCTTAAGCTGGGGTGGCGCCCGCATCAGGGGCCGGCGTGACTGGCGCGGGTATGGGGGTTGTGGCTGCCTCTGGTGTTTTGGAATCAGACCCTGATGCCTGGTTGTTGTCGGCTCCCTCAACCTCGTCCGGCTCGGCATCATCTGTCATGGCATTCCGTCGCGCCGCGTGCAACACTTTGCGCAGAGCTGCCTCGCCATGATCCGATTCAGGGCTCATGGAGGGCAGTTGCAACACCACAACATCGCCAGTTGCCGATCCCACCTAGCATATTATTTACAAGAGACCACTAATGAGAGGCGCAATCGCACACCGGATTACTCGGCATCCCTGCCCTTGTCATCCAATTCACAACGAATTACCAGCGCAAACGTACGGCTAGCGCATGTGTATGCGGGTTGAAGACGATTTGCGTCAGCTTGACGTCCTTGCCAAAGGGCCGTAACTCGCGGACCGGGTCTTGGTCGTTCTCGGCAAGGTCCCACAATTGGAGACGGTCCTCGACGAGCGTGGCCATGACCGTGGCGCGCTCATGGGACCAGGCCAGGTCGCTCACTGGATTCTTGCTCGCATTGAAGATGCATGACGGCGAGCTTTGCCGTTCGCTCCACAGCGCCACCGACCAGTCCGCCGAGCAAGTTGCAAAAATGTCCGTGGCAAAAGGATTGTACCGTAACCGATAGACCGGGGCCGTGTGCGAAAAGTACGATTCCAAGAATGCGTCCGAGTACGAACTGCTACACTTGTGCACGTGGCCATCCTCCGTGGCCACCATGTACCTATGATGCGCCAAGTACCCCCACAATCCCAACAAATCAAGGGTGGGCGATGCACAAACACCTACAACTCGACACCATCGACATCGACCTGGCCCAACTCAAGCTAGCAGACTGCCGTCAACGTACATATTGGCAAGGCGTTGAGAAAAGTCAAAGGCCAACACGCCTGCCTGGCGAGCTAAAAAGGCCGTGTTGGCATTGCCATGATGCGCCTTGCTGCTCAGCGAAAAGAAAAAAAAAAAAAAAAAAAAAAAAAAAAAAAAAAAAAAAAAAAAAAAAAAAAAGTGAGCTTGTTCAACGCTTGTACAAGGAAAAGAAGAAGGAAAGAGGAAAGAGGAAAGAGGGCAAGGGACAACGAAGCAAGGAAAAGGGAGCATAGGAAGGGATGCCAGACACATCAACGGCACAAACCTTTGGGGGGCGACACGCTTGACTTGCAGCAAAAGACGAGATTGCAGACCTCGGGCCAGGGACCAGTTGAGCAGCTTGCCATCGGTTGATGCAGATACCAGCATCTCATCACGACCATCATTGATGGTGGCCACGTGGCCCAAGCTCACAAATTGCAGCTGCCAGATGGGGGCCATGTGCTTTTGCTCCACGGGAAGCGAACGTGTATCGGCCACGGGTTCGCTACTTCGGCTGGTGATGTCATAAATCAGCACGTCACCTGACGTGAGGCCCACGGCCAAGAGGCTGGGCACGTCTTGGGAAAAAGCCACGGAAGTCACGCCGCAAGGTGTGCGATACAGACGTTGGGGGTGCTAAAGAAGCCAGAGAAGATCATCTTTCGATGAGATTGCACCACACTAGCTGGGGTGCACGACAAAAAAACATGGCCAAGTAGCAGAGGCTCTAGAAAGACCGAGAAAGCAAAAGAAGCCGCCCCCACAAAAGTCCAAAGCCCGAATGCGCACCGTAAGATGCTGGGTGGTCCAGCACGCAACATAACCCTGGTTTCCGGGCTCAATGGGAGCGCCCTTGCAGTAGGCCACAGCCATAACGTGCTGAAGGCATGATTGCAAGTAAGGTGATGCGTGAGCCTAGCGGCAAACAGGTCAAGGTGCAGCGGCGGGCACAAAACCGCCGCGACATACGTGATTAACGGGACTCCAAGCCATGCTCATGGCAGCATAGTCACGCAAGGGTCGCGCCGTATAGCGCCACAGTTCTTGTGGAAGTAGGTTATCTAGAACCAATGTGAAAAGGCGGTGCAGATCACGCAGGGTCAAGACTGGCCGCGAGGAAATTCAACGGAAGAAGAGGTGACATGAGCAGCGTGGCCTACCGTGAGCCATGTCCTGATTGAGGCCAAGTTCAAAGGTTGTTTGCATATCCCCATGCGCTTGCTGCTGGAGCACACGCTCCATGAGCTCGAGCGACTTGATCATGGTGCCTTCAGCGGCCACGGCAGTCCATCGAGCTTCCGGCAGTCGCTCGACCGCCGACGAGGCGGATCGCTTCAGCTTGGAAGCGAGTGGGTCTGTGTGAATCTCTGTGCCGACACGCGAGCGCATGACGCGGCGCACGCGCAGCACGTCGAGATCATCCTCGTCATCACTTGGCTCGGCGTGTGAGAGAGCCAGGGCCTCAAACGTGTCGTGAATGTCGGCCGCTGACGCCTGGCATGCTGTGGCCGTGTGCTGGGCGACGTCCTCGGTTTGAACGGCTCGGCGCTTCTCGCCCAGAACATTGGTTTGTGCTACCCGCTCGGCAAAGCTGTCAGGGTTGTTTTGCCGCCGAGCCAAGAGTCCCTGCAACACACAAGTTGCAAATGAAGGTCGATGAGCGACTGACGGTTGTGCCAGTTGTGCCAGAGCAGCCGGCAGCTGATCAGGGGTGGGCGGAGCGGGCACGCACTTCGTAAGCAGCATTGCTCTGCGCCACTGCATCAGCCATCTCAGTGCCCGCCTCTACCCAAGTGGGTGGTAGGTCGAGGAAAAAGAGCGTGTCAGTCTCCTCAAGGGTCAAATAAACCTAAAACCAAAATGACAGATCCCGTGCATAAGAAAAGTGCGTTGGACGACGACGGCGGTTTGGGTCTGATGGTGCATAGGAGCTGATGCGAATGGGGGGTTTTTTTTTTTGGCAGGGGGGTTGGGGGTTGGCAAAAGGCCAGAAAAGGCCAGAAAAGTCACGCACGGGCTTGGCCAATTCGGCATCGGAAAGATCAAGAGGCTCAATGGTCGGCGGGGTGACAGGTTTGGCAAGGGGGTCCAGGAGGGAAGGAATTTCGTCTTCCTGTTCCACATTTTCCACTTCAATCAGCTGCGACGGCCCTTCACCAAATGCGACAGCTGCTGACCTGCATCCAACACGAGTGCACATGACATGTTGTGAGACCCGCTTTAGTGGCCCCAAATCAAAGGCAACAACCACCAGAACAACAACGCCACGGTCACAACAAGCACAGCATTGTCAACTCGCGGTTGGGGCGGTAAGGGCAGATGGAACAGCTGGCTCTAACAGAGTGTCTTTGCCTGGGAGTAACGAGCCTCCAAGATCTTCGCTCATCGAGTCGTGACGCGAGTTGCTGAAGAAGATGTACAGCACAGATCAGCAGCAGAGCATGAGAACACGGCGTGCGGCAAGGATGACATAATGAGTGCGAAGAACAGGGGCCACGGTGGCGGAGCTGACATGGTGATGCTAGCATCCTCCACGTTTGGAAGCTCATAATCTTGGCGCGCATATTGGCGCGGCACCAGTGAACGGGGTGTGACGTCCAGGCCCTGTTCGTTGATGAGCTACGGAACCCATTCATAGCCGGATGGCGTGGAAGTGAGGGCCGACAATGACAGGCGTGCTGCCGATCTCGGCTTGAGGCCGAGGGGACCTACGCGAGGAGCAAGGGGTTCCTGGCGGTGTGTGGAAATGGCAGAATGTTGGGCCGAGGCGCGACGGCTGCTACGCCCACCCAACGTTCGAGAGCTGGAGATATGCAAGCACCATTGTACGCGTGCGTGAAGCGACATCAATGTGCAGCGGGCACAACTGGGAGCGAGGCCCGGGCAAAGAGGGCGCGGGTCTTACGACATGCGGCCAGAGGCACCAAAAAGTCTATGGAGCAAGGAACCGCAACAAAAGAGCGAGAAGGAAAGGGTCAGGGTAGGTTTGATGAGGCTGGCAGGTGAGGCCCGAGCTAAGGCAAGGCTGGGGCATTGTCAGCGACGATCGACGCACTGTGAACGGCTCTTGTTTGAGCGGGTGGACATGGGCGGCGCGGGCCCCGCCGTCCCCGCGCGGACCGAGTCCTTAATGACGAGGGCCGAGGCCGGCATGCTGCAGGCTCGGTCGCTCTTTCCTGTGCGCAAAAATCAAATCAATCGCCGAATCGATCCAAGGCAGCGACCGTCTGCAGGACCGCGGTCGTTGTTTGAAGCCAAGACGATCTTGGCTTGCACCGTGTGCAAAGCAACGACTCAAAGCCCGATTCAAGAGTCTGTCAACCAAGCCAGCCCAGTTGCTTCTGCGTTTGTGCGTGTGCGAGCGCGCGCGCATGTGATGAGCTGCCCTCGACACGACGGTCCGCCAGCTCGCTGCCAGCAACGAGAATGCCTCAACCAACCGCTGACTATTTGCCCCGAAATATCTCTGACAAATTCGTCTGGCTTGGACGCACTCTCTGCACGCTGCTTAAAATTCAACGTAAAATCGCAGCAACCCGAAACAGACCACGACCCTTCTCTGCTGCAGCGCATCAAGCAGTGTCACCTCTCTCATCCGCTTGCGGCCATGGTTGCCAAGGTTCCATATACATCCCTATCTTCTGACCCCAATCTGACATTCTGACCCCCTCTTGTCAGATTACCGCCATCCATTGATTCCGCACGGCGCAACATAAAAGCGGACAAAAAGGACATGGCATGACGTTCTTGTGTGTGTGAGGTGTGTGCGAGGAGTGTGTGTATGTGTGAAAGTGTCACCAGATGCACCATTTGATGTATGTGAGACCCTGACACTACGACCTCAAACGAAATCACATCTGGGTTGCAGCTTAATACCCATGGTTGCGGGTCCACGCGGCGTAGCAATTTGGGACACTGCAGCGCAACGCGGGGTATGGTGCCGCCAGCATGCATACCAGATGGCGAGTCGGTACCCCTTTCCGGCTTTTGAGCATGGCCACAAGCAGCAAAAGGCGCTGCAGCGGTGCCGACCCATGTCAGTTGTGCTTGTGTGCTTCTCTGGCACGCATTGATCGGTCGCCAGCGGCAAGGGCGCAATGCAGTGCGAGCTGGCGTTGGGTAGCGACGAGCCGCTTAACCCGTCTGCCACCCTCCGCTGCCGGGTAGAGCATGTTCAAAGCCCACTCGCGTACCAGGCCAAAAGTTGAGCGAGTTGCTGCCCGCGCCCACCTCGTCTCACCTGGCCCATGGCGCCCATTTCCAAGAGCCCCGCTTGAGCGCGCTCTGGTACCATCGACCCCCTCCCCCCGTCGCTGCCTCGCACTCCTGCGTGACACCCACCCACAGACAGACGGAAGCAGAAACACACAAAGAGGTTCCCCCTCTTCCTTCGCCCTCCCCCTTCTTGCCCCATCCTACCTCCATCTTTGCACGTCGCTCGCGGCACCAGATATTATCATCATTCAGGCAGCCCCACGACGCTCGGCACAAGCCAAACCGCTGCCGTTTGTGTCATCTGGCGCCCTTTGTGCGTGTAAGCCACGCGACAAAAGAGCCTTGCCTTTGCAGGCTTCCGGTGGCGTTGCACCGTGCGCGTTTCACCGTGCGCGCGGCAGTTTTTAACGGCACTGCCCCTGTACCTGGCCCGACTTGGGATCAGAAGTGTGCCGCTCGGGGCAGGCAGTGCGCCGTGATTCTGACGCGAGTTCAGATCACTTGCTGAAAAAGCAACATGCGCACACCCTGCACATTGCTCGCCTTGCTGGCGTTGGTCACATTGACGCTGACTCAAGGTTTGTCCCGTCTTTCTGCGACAACACATTCTTTCTCGCCTCTCTTCTCGGGTCGTCACCGCCACTCACTTGGGCCTCTGGCACGCTGTCGCTCACAACAAAACCCAGGCGCTGCAGCGTCCCTGCCGCAAAACACATCCGTCGTGCTCGTTCTTCCCGTGCGCCCAGTTTCGGACGAACAATGGAGCCATGCAGTCCGCTTGGCTCAGGACGTTCATGCTTTCCTGGGCAGGCATATTGATCTCTATGTGACCCTCCCAGGATCATCTCGTCCCTACGTGTTCCATGCCAATGAACTCCCCATCCTGGATGCCCTTGCCGCCTACAATTACTCCAATCCGCTGGGATACAAGGCCATGCTCAAAGCCGTGGAAGAGGAGGTTCACATGCTGACAAGCACCGCAATGTATGTTGTGGTGCTTGAAGACGATGCGACCACCGAGTCTGCCTCGGTGCTGTCCAGTGCCCTCGACTCCCTTGTGACCACCTTCAACCCAATCGGTAGGTGCAGCACTCGCATTCAACTCAGACGCAGCGCACTCGAACGGTCCCTCCTCGACACCTACGCATGCGCCACTCATCTCACGACTCTTGAAACGTGCCCCCGTTCATACAACCCTTCATCGCGTAGCTATTACCTACAGCATTGTCTCCACAAGTGTGCAAGAGTCAGCTCTGCAGTCATTGACCTTTCTGCGGCGAGACATGATGTTCTTTCTCGATGCCACGTTTGCCGTGCCCCCCGCCACCATCTTTGGTCTTGCCGATGACGATGATGAAGACCTCGTCACAACCGAGGTTCCCAAAACGACGGCTGAAGCCACCACAAGCACGGTCGTCTCCACAAGCACAACCTCAGAGGCAACCACAACCAGTGCGGAAGACTGCCCCGAGATTGACGCCTGTGCTTGCCGGCCTGACGAAGTCCCAAACTTTACCTACAACACACGGGGCTGCGCCGTGAGCTGTGAGTGTCAGCCGGCCACCACCACCACCACCACTACCACTGGTCCGGCTACGATGGAGACCTCAATCCCAACCACTACTGAGGACTCCACAACGCCCGTCGTGCCCGTCAATCCCAGTCAAAGCGGCCCGTACGGTCGACTGGCCGCATCAGTCACGGGCTACAATCTCACCATGTACTTTGAGCTGTTGAACCAAACCGGTTTGCTCAGCATTATCGAACCTCAGAGCAGAGGCACGCTGTTTGTGCCCACGGACGAAGCCTTTGCCCTCTACGGCCAAGGCTTTTTCCAGCATTTGGTGATGAACCAGCCAAATCTGCTTCGGGACATTCTACTCAATCACTTTGCCCTCACCCAGTACACCAGTCTGCAAAACGTCTCTGCCTTGGACATGCTTACCGATGAGGTAGCAGTGACTTTAATCAACGGCATTCCTTTCCTGGAGGGCTCGGTGGAGGTGCTGGATGGACCCGCTTTGGGTGGCGCCCGCGCCGTCTACGTCATCAACCTTTTGCTCGTGCCAAACCTTGCTGATCCTCTCCCAACAACAACCACCACGCCCACTACCATCCAAGCCACAACCACCTCGCGTAGGCCTGCCACACGGCCTCAAACCACGACCGCTCGACAAGCCATCACAACACGCGCCCCTATGACCACCGCTGCCCCTGGAGGCCCCTCGGCCCAACTGGAGGATCTCGTCAACACTAGCCCTCTCAGCGGCTACAGCTTGACCATCTTCCGCCGCTTGGTGCACGTGGCTGGCTTGGACGTGGTGTTTGAGGCCCTTGCAAACGCCACCATTCTCATTCCCACCGATGCTGCCTTTGAGCAGCGGGCCGAGCTCATTGCATACCTCGAGCTGCCCGCTAATCGTGCGCTTCTGCGCAGCATCCTGCTTCACCACATTGTGCCTCGTCGCATTGTTACCTTTGCCAACGGTAATTCGACGGTGCAGACGCTCATGGGCGACCTCGAGGTCTTGCAAATCAACGGCGTTGTCATTATTGATGACGTGATCTTGGTCCTGAATGGCCCGGCGCTCCTGCAAACTGTCTTTGTCAACGGCTACGTCATTGATGGTATCCTGTTTCCCGATACGGATACATCTTACTCCACGCCCGAGCCCGAGATTACTCAAGTTCCACCCGTGACCTCGGGGGCCGGTGTCTGTGAGCTGACCCCGGACGGCGCCTTCATTACCACTGGCTCGTTTGGCTTGTGCGAGTGCGTTGATGACGCTTTCATGGCGGATCTCAACGATGACTGGACCCAGGTGGTGTGCGATGAATGTACCAACGTGGGTCAGCAGTACTGCGCCACTACCATCCCGGCTTCGACCACCACCCCCTCCACCACCACGCTAACAAGCACTCCCACCGAGACCACGGCTCCGGACACAACCACCTCGACAACTCCCGAGGTTACCACAACTCCCATTACCACCACGACAATCAGCACAACTGCTCCTCTCACCAGTACTAGCCAACCTGAGACGATGGCCACCACCACGACACAAGGTTTGGAGACAACAACAGTCACGACAACAATGACGACGACCACCACCACCACGACAGCCCCCGCTACCACCACGACAGCCCCCGATACCACCACGACAGCCCCCGATACCACTACGCCAGCCCCCGCTACCACCACTACCACCACTATTCCCACCACCACCATTTTTCTCGACACCACGACAACACCCTCAGATACCACCACTGTGAGCTCCACTCCCTTGCTCAATCAGACAACCACTGCGGCGCCAACCAGTACGACCGGTATTGGTGGGCCCAACTGCAAATATCTGGACTGGGTTTGCGTCTCACAGAGCGACTTTCCCGCCAACGGCAGTGATGACACTTGCCCGTGCACGGCCGAATGCGGCGGTGGCTTCCAGCTCTTCCGCAAATTCGTCCTACCAGGCTCGGATCCCGATTGCCCTTCCCTTTTCTTGAAAATCGAGTGCAACACTCAGGCGTGCCCGACCACTACCCCTCGCGCGCAGACGAGCAGTTCCACGTCGCGGGCCCCAGATACAACTACTAGGCGCGCAGACACAACGACGCGGGCTCCCGATACAACTACTAGGCGCGCAGACACAACGACGCGGGCTCCCGATACAACTACTAGGCGCGTAGACACAACGACACGGGCTCCTGATACAACCACGCAGCGAATGGAGACCACGACCCGCCGTGCCGAGACCACGACCCGCCGTGCCGAGACCACGACCCGCCGTGCCGAGACCACGACCCGCCGTGCGGATACTACTGCACGACCTGCGACCACCACCTCGGCAGTTGGGACAACCATCATCGGCTCGACAGAAGCCGTGGTTGACGGCGGGGGTGGAGGTGGTGGCAATGATGATGGCTGGCTTCTGTGTAGGTTCCAAACAACGCATTGGGCCTCATTCTTGACTTGACTTGAAGACGCCTTGCAATGTGCGTAAGGTGCACGTATGCTCACGCATGACTCTTGCGTCTCTTTGTTCTGCCTTATAGTGGCTCTCATCTTACTCGGACTCCTCTTTACCATTCCGTTTTGCTTGGCACTCTTGCTGCCCTGCTGCTCGGGTTTTTTTGCCGCTGCTGCTGTTGACGACGCTTGTACGTTGACCTGCAGCATGAACGTTCCGGCGCTTGCTTCAGCTTCTTCTCATAATATCATCGTTTTGCCTTTGTAGCTTCGCTGTCCAGCTATTCGGAGGATTCAATGTCCTTTGTCGACCTGGATGCAGACGACTATGCCGGAGGCTTTGGCACCGAGGGTACGCTTTTGGGGACATGGACCATTTCCTGAGCTTCCCACTCTCCTCTGTTGTGTGCTCACATATTCCTCCTGTCCTTTCCTTCAGGTGTGCTCGTGGAGAACCAAATGTATGGCAGCCGCCAAGGGATTCTGATGAACAACGGCCACTATGGCACCCGCTTGCCCGTCAATGCCCGCGGTGGTGGTGGTGCTGGTGGCATGTTGACAAGCACAAGCCACACTACGTCCCAGACACAGCACATGCAACAGCCCGGCATGCAGTTTCCTCAGCACATGCAGCATAGTGCCATGAGCAATCGCTCGGCCGCCGCCACGTATGTGCCCATGACCACATTTGCACGGCAGCAGAGCGAAAACATCTACAGCGGACCCCTACCAGGCCACAACGCCGGCGTCGCTGTCCTTTCAAGCCAGACGGTTGAGGCGGTTCCGCGCCGGTACAGCCGTCCTGTTGTATCCAGTACCCGACATGCCTACGAATACTACTCGCAAGCCACCCCGGGCACACCATATGAGAGCGTCTCTTCCCACAGCAGTGGACCCGCTCCTTTGGCGCATTCACAGCACTCAGCTCGACCCCAACCACCCCCTCGGTCAGAGCCTCCCATGTTGTTTTCGCGGCCTCCCAGCATTCCCCCGCCCATGGGACCACCGCCTGGCCAACGGCCCAGCAGTCGTCTGCAGTCAACGCAGGGCGCGCAGTCGGCTCAGGGTGAGACCAACGTCTGAGCCTTGTATAATATTGCTAGCGGCATGATCGTAGAGTGTTGATGTGCCGTCATAGCAGTTTGTGTGGGTTTGCCGTGTCAGCACACAAACGCGTTGACGACAACGCACAGCATCAAAAGTGCCGAGCAGCCCGGTTTTGGGTGAGATCATCGGGTCATCTCCCTGACCTCTTCTTTGGTGTACTATCTTGTTTTTTGATGAATTGCCATACTATGTTTTCAAACCTTTTTCCATTTCCTCCTCCTTCTTCCCGCTGTACTGGCCTCGGTGATCGGTTGGCTAGCCGGTCCTTTGGCTCAATTCGAAGTTTCGGGTCCGTGACACTTCTAAACGTTCATGCGATCAGCTGCGTGGTGTTACCGGACTTGCTTCCGCTCCAGGGCATTGTCTGAAGACTGTATTCAGATGGACAGGTGGAGCAGAACAGAGGCATGAGTCAAGGCTGCGTTCATTTTTCCTCAACAGTGAGACGATGCCATGCCAGAAACACAAAGTGAATCCCATGGTCGAAACAAGCCGGCATTGGTCAGAGAGAAGATTAGCTATGTTATAAAGATTTCAACAGCTAGTTGTTCAGATGCTTTCAAAACATCTCATCACACCGAATAGGCCTCTAGAACCTCGACTGGTTGAGAAACAGACTTACCGCATTTTCCAAATCCTTGGTGCGCTTCGGATCCGGCACTTGTGGAGCCGGCTCACCCTGGTAGTGGTAACACGGGTGAGCGCGGTGGTGATAGCATACCATACACCGTCTTTTTTTTTTTTTTAATGAAAAAATTTCTCACGGAAATGGTTCATTCAGAGCGGTTGGCAGTGTTGCACGTACATTGCTACTCAACGGGCGCTTGGAGCTCGAGCTCAAGCCAGGGCGGGCTCCTCCGGGTGGTCGCATTTCACGTGCACGCGCAATCGGTCGTTGTTGTCCCTGCCGATGCCCAGACCGGTGCGACGGCTCCTGAATGATCAAAGAGATGGAATGAAATTCAAATGACGGCACAAATACCTTCTGACGCTCAAACAAGAACACGGGACTCACCGCGCCGAGCAGCTTGGCTAGACTGGACGTGGGACTGGTTCCTGTGCTGCTTGACTCGCGTCTGCCAGCGATTTGCGCCTGAGAGGTGTGTTCAGTGCCATTTGTTGCCTCCCGTTGGCCACTCAAATCGCGCTTGCCCGCGGAGTGGGATGATGTTGAAGCAGGTGAAGTCTCGGCTGAAGATAAGGGGCCAGCATATCGATCGGGTGTGGCTTCCAATCCGCGAGTTTGCGCAGACTGCACTTGTGAGCTTGCGGATCCATTCTGGTCGCTGGATCGTCTTGCAGACTGGTGTGGCCCCGTCGGCCCAGCTTTTCCCGCTGAGGCTTCTTGCACGGGAACATGACCGTTGGTCGCGCGAGTCGGCGAATGTTCGTTGCTCGCGCACAGGTCCCTAGGCAAGGCCCATGGCGTGCGTTGGAGAGCGTCTGCCACTGGGGCTTGTCCATGCATGCGCAGAGCGGCAATCAGGCGCTCGTGTACAGCCTGAGCCTGCTGCAAAGGCTTGGTCCAAAGGCGAATGTGCTCTACGCTTTGTTGTGCATTCGCTGCACTCGAGGTCGCGCTCTGCCCTCCGCGGCAGACAAACGTGTGCAGTAAACCCGCTGCCGCTGCTGTAAGCCGGGTGTCGGTTTTAGAATCAAGTCCCAAGCTCTCGTTGAGCTGCTGGCGGCGCTGTGTCAGAGCGGCGGCAACTGTCTGGTTATGTTGTTGCAGTTGCTGTTCATATTCACGGCGATGTTGCCGCAAAACGCTACGCTCTTGATGAAGAGCTCGCAATTGATGGCGCGCGGCGCGCAGTGTGCGGCCTGAGGGGTATCGGCGTTCCAACCCAGCCACAGCACGGGTCAGCGTCCGCACCAGACGTTGAGAGGCGCTGTCGTCCCCGGCCGCGACTTTGCCCGATGAGCTGCTGGGCGGCGCCGATGATTGTTGTGAAGATTGGCGGTCTCGACGTCGACTGGCCCCTTTGCTGCGTTTGGTACTTCCGGGTCGCGTGCCTGCCGCGGCCTTTCCATCTCGCTCCGCCCCACTGTGACCTTTGCCCACAGCGTCGGTTTTGTGATGACCAGCAGCTCCAGCGCTTTGGTCCTCCGCTTCCTCATCGTTGTCTTCCTCGTCGTCTGAATTATCGCGCACGGGGGCGCCCGAGTGGCTAGTACCCGTGCGATCAGGGTTGGCATCATCGTCGTCATCTCCCACCTCGTTCTCAAAGGGCACCTGGACCGGCTCCCCTTTGCTGAAAAACTGATCTAGGTACCTAGGCAAGGCGCGCACGCGCCAGTCAGAACAGGAACACAACGGGAGGATTTGAGAGGACGAGCGCCCACCAAAGGAACACAGCCCCAAACCTTGCAAAATGCTTGGAATCTTTTAAGCTAGCTCACTGATCGGTCGTCCCTGCCCATCCCCCCCCCCCCCAGAGAGTCCCATTGACGTACTGATGGTTCACGGTCTGAACATAATATGAAAAAGGGCGAGCCGTCCATGATACGCCCTGGCCTCGATAGCATAACTTCCGCATCGTCAAAATACACCCCAGATCATTCCTGGCAGCCAGAAGTCAACACAGCAAAGTGAGGGATACATGCTAGACAGCGCGTGGCTCAGCGGCACCGAACAAGAAGCTGATGATACAATGAGCAGGCTCGACACGCACAAAGTTCGGGCAGTGATGGTAAAATCAGACTTGCGGAGGCTGATTGAAGAAATGAGCCGGGTGCCGGCTTGGCAGTTTTCGAACATGCGGCAAAGCTGTTGGTTAACCTGTGCAGCCAGGGCAAACACACCCACGTCAAGGACTTGCATCTTCCCCCAACCATGTGATCAGCGGTCCATTTGTTCGGGTGAATCATCGAAAACCACTGCCATGGCCCACCTTGGTGCCAAATGCAAAGTTGTTGAGAAAGACAACGCTGGTGTTGGTGATGCGTTCGGCGTATTGGGGCTGGAGAAAATTATCCTTGACCAGCTCATACGCGCCACACTGGAGGTGGAAATGATCGATGATCGGCTTGAAGTGGAACATCATGAGCTGGTTTGGTGATCCAAGTGCAGAGGGTGTGAGCTTTTCGATCGAGGTTGGCAGCGAGGCTGGAAGCAGTGGAGGAAACCAAACAGCGGCGTCTCGTCATGAACAGACCTTTGCATACTCTGCGGGGATGTCTTGCTTCTCGATGCCAAAGCTGGTTCGTGCTCTACCTTCGAGGGCCACTTGCAACACCACTTGACCAACGCCTAGGTTTTGACAAAATTTAAATAAAGATGAGTCGCAAATGGGAGGGAAAGGAAAAAAAAAAAAGTCAGCGGGCAAAACACCCAAAAAGCGTCCATGTCGACTCTCGACGATTCCAAGGCCCATGACAGACTTGATCAAGGGCTAAAAAGTCGACGTACCAGAACCCAGATCGACAAAGGTGTCGTCTGGCTGCACATTAGAGTTGGCAATGACGTCGGATATCATTTTGCTAGTGAATTCGCCATACACCTCTGCTGTCCAGCCTTTGTACCGGTTGAGCAATGCGGGGTCGGTGACGGCACGCGAGTAGGTCTGCCGCAGTCGATCAGCGAGATGAGGGGCGCGAGGCGGCTAGCAAAGTGCAGAGTATTCGGATTGTCAAAGGAGCGCCGGAAAGGGCAGGCCGGTGACCACGCACCATGTTCATGATGTGCTCGCACAAGTCGGTGGGACAGATTAGCCGTTCGGCCTGCTCTCCCACACTCTGTCAACAGCAGGCACCGAAGGGGGTGAGAGCGCTTTGAAGCAGAAGCAGGCGCTGCCTATCAGTTGCTGTATAGCTACCTTATGGTAAACGCGCATGGCCGCGTTGAAGGCCTCGACAACCTTGCTCAAGCTAGCAAACCTGGGCGTGGGAGAAGGAGAAAACCAAGTGCATGCATGAGTCCGAGGCGGGATCACGCTCGCTGCAGTTGTTGTCGCCTGACGTACTCTGTGCCGGGCTTGGCACAAGCAACGATGTCATCAGCCCAGGTATCGGGCACAGGAAGAGCGCAGAGCTTCACAATGTGGCTATCCCATCAGCGAAGAGGCCGGAACAAAAATGAGACGTGCACTGGCCAACGCCGTGGAGATGGGGGCGTTGCGAGAGTGGGCTATGGTCGAGGGTCGCACTTCATCGAATTGAGCAATTCAAAGCCAGCATCGTAACTGCTGTCGGTCTAAAGCAGGTTCGAAAGCGGTCATCGCAAAACCGAGGCAGATAAGTCGGCAGGCCATTTAGGCCACATGGCCGCAGACACACACACACATACACACACACCACACCACCACACACGTGAACAGACAACAAAAATTGAATCACAAGAAAGGCCAAAGAACAGCAATCGGCAAGCCGCACCATGTGGGTAAAAGGCCATTGGTACAGCATGGGTGGACCTTTGGGATTGGGAGAAAGGATGGCTAGATGGGTTTGGGTGGTGTCGACAGGGGGAAAGAGCGGGGGTACGTCAAACCAATCCTCGGTAATGCCGAGTTCGCGCGAGCCGCCTGGAATGGCTTCAACATCTTCCTCATCCGGAACGCGCCGCCCAGGTTGACCCAGGTGCACGCGTCCGATACGTCCACCAACTGGGCGGCGATGCGAGTTGGGAGCGGAAGAGGGTGCCTGAGGAGAGGAGGCGCACGGGGACGCCGCCTCCTCCACGACGGCTTGCACGGGGTTGCCTGGCGTCAGCCCTGCTGGGCGCGGCTGCACGGGTCCTGCCTGGTCTTTCAAAGGAGAAGGCTTGGACTGGGACACCTCGGCCTCGGCACTCGCGGCCATGGCTGGCCTTGGGCATGCGCCACAACCGACCGAGCCCGGAGCACTGTAATGGGGCGAGCGAATGGCCCGAACCGGGTGTGGTCACACTCGAGGTAGTTGAACCAATCTCATTGGACGTCCAGAAAGCTTGGGAGTGCAAAGGCTACCCCTGAAAGTCTTGGAAACCAGCCATGAGCCGTTGGCCGCGATTCCCAGCCTGCAGCCGCCGGAACCCGATTCGGTCCCCGGACGTTTTTGGCAACCAATAATTGTGAAGAGGGCAAACACACACACACACACACACACACACACACACACACACACACACATACATCATGTGAGCCGGCTGCGAATGTGCAGATCAGCTGCCAGCAGCAGCCACTCGTCACCCACCTCGGCATTCAAATCGAGGAAAAGGAGGTCACCACCACCACCGCCGCCACCATCACCATCACCCCCCTAAAAAAAAAAAAAAAATTGTCGAGCTCGCGGCGCGCACTCTCCTGTCTCTGTCTCTCTCTGTCTCTGTCTCTGTCTCTGTCTCTGTCTCTGTCTCTGTCTCTGTCTCTTGGTTCTGTCTCTGTTCTTCGTCTCTCTGGCTTTGTCTCTTATCTCGTTGCCACTCTGTCTCTGCCTCTGGCTCTCATTCATCCCTCCCTCTCTCATTCACCTCTCGCTCTCTCGCTCTGTCTCTCGTAGAAAATGTCAGAGAACAACGCACGTTTAAGAATGTGTAATATATATCACACTTATGTTTAAGACGTTTTAGATGGGCGAAGGCAGTGAGTATGCTCGTTATGCTTGCTTGCTTGAACAAATTGTCAGAGCGCCATACTCATGAACAGATGGTAACTGTCAAGTTGTACATAAAAGTTGCGTTAAAATTATTCACATTTTAGCAAAACACCTCCTGCCTTTCAGGATGGCGCCGATTCAATCTTTGTCAGCACGGACGTACTTGGTCCTGGCCGGCGCGTTCTTCGCCGCCTGTGCCTGGGCTCAGATCAACGACCCGGATAGTCTACCTTGGATGGCAGCCTATCTGGGTTTAGGTACCCTGCTTAATGCCGTGGTGGTGACTGGATGGACCAGCGGCTTGCTGGCCAGCGTACTGCCCATGGTGGTCGGTGGCATCCTGGCCTTTGCTGGTCATCTCCTGTACACCATTCGGACCGATCTGGACGTGACGCCCCAGGGGCCGAGCGCATCCTGGCAGGACAATGCTGCCGCTCTGGTCTGGCAAATTCTCGAGCATGAGCAAGGCCGCGAAGTCGGTGGCTTGCTGCTCCTCGCAGCCCACGTGGGTTTCTTGCGGGCCCTTGCCGGCGCCCAAGCTGGACGCACCACCGGCTGGGCCAACAAGCTCGCCGCCCTGGTGATGGTGCTCGCCCTAGGGGGCGCGGCATACGCATGGCGCTTCCAGCCCGAGATGAATGCCCGCTACCACACCGAGCACTGTTCGGGTGCCTTCTCCATGGGTCGGCATTCTGACAACTGAGTTGTCTCACATCACTCCTGCGTGCTTGCTGTGGGAGACATGTTTGTGTCCGAAAATACTGGCGTCACTGTCGCCTGGCTTTTGAATGGCGGTCGCTGACCCATGCAGCCTGATTATGATAATCAATTGAGACCTTGATTCGCCTCTGTAATAAGCATACCACAACGCATAAAATGTTTCGTCATCAACACGGGAACGCCTTGCACGCATCAGCCGCACTCCGCCGCACCCTGGTCGCAGTTGTTAAAATTAGGGTGGTGGTGGAAAGCCCTGCGCTTCTTGCTCCGCGGCTTCTTTCTTCTCAATGATCGCGCGTTTCCAGGCCGGCACACCCTCCCAGCGCTTCTCGGCCAGCGCGCGCTTTTGGCGCTCCTCCTCCAACTGCTTTTGAATCTTTTCCTGCTTGCGCTGCTCAATGGCCGCGCGCCATGCCGGAGGTGTCTCGTCTTCTGCCGGCGCAGACGCCGCAGCTGGTGCTGGAGCTGGTACGGCGACCGCCGGTGGCGCAGCCATCGAAACGGGCGGGGGTGCACCCGCACCTGGCCCCGTTTGTCTACAGCCACCCACAATAACATGAGCTGCGCGTCGGCCACGTATCTCCCTTGGAAAAACACTCTTGATGCAACAACAATCTTGCAGGCAAAGTCAAACCAGTTCAATACGTACCGGCGAGCAGCAAACCGCTGATTGAGCATTTCTAGCTTGCGCATACGCTCAGCATCATCCATAACCTCGGGCACCGGCTGATCCTGCCCCGTAGGTGCCTGGGCTCGGGTGGTGGCTGCAGCCTGCGGTTGTGCACTGGGCACGGCACTACTGGTCGCTGCATACCGCTGCTGTTGAGACTGCTGCATCTGCTGGTAGTAGGGTTGGGTGCGAGCAGGCGTTGTGGTGGTGGGTGGTGGAGGCTGTCCTCGACCAGGCGGCACAGCCACTGGTGGTGGTGGAGCCACGGCGCTGCTCGATGCCACTGCAGGTGGCCCGCGCGCATCGGGCATCGGTCGCTCCGTGGGTGGTGCCTCCTCGAGCCCAGCCGCTGTAAGTGCAACAAATAGGCCCAAAACGTGGACGTGAAAAGAAGAAAGAAAACCAAAAAAAAGGTCGTCGAATGAGTGGGTTGGCACGTAAGCGACGGAACCCTTACCAACGCGTTCCTTGCGCTCCAAAACGGCACGCTTCCACGCGGGAACACCCTCCCACCGGGCTTCTTTGGCTCGTGCCTCGGCTTGTTGCGCTTGTGCCGCGCTCTACGCGTGCCCCCGCACCACACATGAGATGATAGTTACCAAGACAATGAGCACCCATTCTTGACACTGGTAGCTTACCCATTCGTCGTCCAGCTTCTTCTGAAGCACCTTGCGCTTCCAGTCAGGCAACTGATCCCCATCGGGTCCGTGTGTCGGTGCCACTGGACGCCCGCCTGAACCTGGGGCCGGCATTTGCCCCTCACTTGTACCCTTGGCAGTGGTCGTTGATGGGGGCGGCGCAGGAGCCGCTGCCACTGCCGGTGGCTTGTAATCCTAAAACACAACAAGACAGGGCATGTCCGGTGTTAGGGACGCCAAGCGCTTGCGCTTGTGACAGAGGCGAGCCGATGAGTCGCGGCTATACATTGACACGAACGATACTAGCAAGCACAAACCATTTTGTGATAGCTATCCACGGGTTGCAAGGCAGCCTGTTGAATGTCGCGGGAAAAGCTTGTTTCGGCGGGTGGGGGCGGCGCGAGGGCGACGCTGCTGGACGTCTTCTTCAGCTGAATGCCGCTCCGAATCTCGCTCAAGAAATCACTCTCACCTGCGCTGGCTCGAGTTGTTGAGCCAGGTTGAACGCTGCGCAGCTGCTTACCCTGCTGAAGCTCGCGAAGTAGATCACCCGACGAGTCGCGAGCGCCGCCATCACCCGAGCTCTGACTTGGAGCAGCCCGCAACGGTGCTCGGTTCTTCAGGGCTGACAATAAATTGTTACCCGAAGCCGCTGGAGGTGGTGGTGGTGGTGGCGCACCGGCTGCACCTGGTGGCGGCGGCGGCGGCGGCGGGGCGCCACCAAATGCAGGTGGTGGTGGCGGTGGTGGCGCGGCGGCCGCAACAGGTGGAGGGGGCGGCGGTGGTGCGCCGGCTGCGACAGGTGGAGGAGGCGCCATCGTGGCAGCGGGGCGCTGCGGTGCCTGGTTCCACGCTGGTGGTGGTGGTGGTGGGGCCACTGCCGCTGCTGGCGCGCCAGGTTGACTCACAGCTGGAGGCGGTGGTAAACTGGTCGCCGTGGACGTGGACGTAGTCGATGGTTGCTGCTGTTGCTGGCGAAAGCGTTTGATTAACAAGTCACGCTTCCACTGAGGCAAGCTGGGATCGTCCAGGCCGGGGATCTCCGGCTCTGCGGCCGGTGCCGCCATCTCAATTTGCGAAGCACGCCGCATATTTCCCTTGAGTCGGTCCCAACCATGGGCAGACTGACGCCGACGGGCCTGGTCTCGCACTTGATTCAGTGCGTCATTGATGTGTTCCATGCGCTCGGTGTCACGGGCACGATTGAGCAACATATCCTCGCCCTTATGCTCAGGTCTCGGCTGGGCAGTGGCAGCGCCAGTGGTAGCGGCTGGCGGTGCAGGCGCATTCCACGAGGCGGCACCTTGGGCCAGGTGGACGTTCGCGGCTTCACGACTGGCCTCAAGCTTGGCGTATACCCGTGTCGAGGTTGCGAGATTGCTCATGTTCTTAATGGCCTGGCGGTTCATGTGAAGAAGCTCAGCTCCAGTCACGTGGGCAAATTTGCCTGCCACATCGCCCAGACCTTGGGCAGTAAGCCAGTCCACCACTTCGGGCGGGGTGGCATCCATGGGCAAACATTGGCCACGACGCGCTGCCAACATTTCATCAATGTTGAGTGAGGCGCGGCTGCCCTGGCGATTCTTGGCTCGCCGACGCAGCTCGTGCAAGTTGAGACCACCCTGCACGACAACAGGAGCAGGCATTGGCGTTGCCACGAGTCAAGATGAGTAAGAGCACGTTTCCCTGCAATCACAATGCTTCTACGTACCGGCCCGGCCGAGTCACCAGTCTCCGCAAGCTGAGGAGCAGGCGCTGGCGTTTCTTCACCCTTCTTCAACTGCTGACCCTTGGCCAAAATGGCCGCATTTAGATCCAGCGGAGCTGCGGGTGCCGCCGGTGCGCCGGTGGCGGGAGGTGGCGGGGGTGGTGGTGCTCCACCTGCTGCAGCAGGTGCGCTGGGGGCCACTGGCGCCTGCGGTCGCTCTGGCGGGTACATGAGACGGCCATTGCGCACCAACGGCATGTCAGAATATTCCACGGGCATGCCATCTTCGTCGAGGAGGTAGTTGCGGGGCACAAAGCCAGTTTGATCAATGCTGTTGCACACCAGCCACCAATTTTTGCGGTTATCCAGCACCCGCAATACCTCGCCAACATAGATGGACAATTCCTTCTGGTTTGCCGCATCGTGCGGGTAAGCGCATTCCACAAAGATGTCAAATTCATCACTGTCCATGCCGGGAGCTGGAGGCAGGGCAGCCGGCGGCTGCAAAAGCTCGCGCACTGTCCGAGCTGGGGGCAAGGTTGTTCCGCTGGCAGGTTTACGGGCTTCGTTGGCCGATGAAGCAGCCACACCTGTACCCGGCGGTGGGGGTGGCGGTGGCGGTGCCCCCGTGGCACCACCGTCAATGGCACGCGCCCGTGCTGCGAGCTGACTCTTAAAGTCGTTACCAGCAGGTGGCGCCGGAGGCGGCGGAGGAATGGCAGAGAACTGTGGAGGTGGTGGCACGCCAGGGGCGGGCGGTGCGGGTGGCGGTGGCGGGGCGCCACCAGCCCCGGGTGGTGCAGGCGGAGCCGGCACCGCTGGTCCGGGAGCGGAAGGCAACGCTGGCGGGGGTGGCAGCTTTGAGGGGTCAATGTGTAGAGAGCCATCATCCACACCATCGGGGCGTGGAAGCGATGGCAGCTCAGGTACGGGCAGCAAGGCCTCTTCAACGGCGGAGCCGAGGTTGGAAAGGCCAACCGGCTGACTAGAGTTGAGCAGATCGGTCGAGGCTACAAACGTCTCAGCAATGGTGGCCTGTTCGGCTTCCCATTGCTCGCGAAGCTGACCGTGGCTAGAGGAAAATATGAGTGGGGGCAGAGCAAACGAGAATAAGCAAATAAATAGATGAATGTGTCAAGTTAAAAAAAAAGAAGAAGAAGAAGAAGAAGAAGAAGAAGAAGAAGAAGAAGAAGCGCAGGAGTGACGCGCCAAGTGCTTGCATGCATTGACAAAGCACGAACAAGAGCACGCACCTGTGACGCGGTTGGTAGAGCACAAAGAGGTCCTTATCAGCACGGCCGGCATTCCAGTTGCTGCCGAGGCTTCGCCAAAAGCGAAGGCGATCGGCTGCTTGACCTTTGCCATCCAAGACCGAAAGCAAAAACTGCCGTGCAAGCGTCATGAGCAGGCGGTATTTTGACTTCTTCACTCGTCGGCCCAAGTTTAGGTGCAGAAACCACCTGCCGACATACCTTTAGACCGGCGATGCTCATGCCTGGCTCGGCGATGCTTCGCACGTGAGTGTAACTTCCTTCACTTTGCACAACATCGCGGAGGGCCGTCACAATCTATGGGTGCACAGGACGTGAGAAACAGGTTACTCAAGGAAGCAGGCTCACTTGAACGGATGGTGACCAACCTCAAACACGAGATCACGCGGCGAGATGAAGACGTCATCAGCAAACTGAAGCTCGGGAAAGGCCGACATGGTAACGAGAGCGCGAATCTGCACACGCATTTGCGACAAATCAGACGCAGTGAGCTTCGACACCACGACTACAAAAACGCATTGCTTTTGTGCAGTCATGCTGGAGCGCGCTGAACAGAGCCATATCATCATCGTCACATGCCTGGCGGTAGCAGTTCTCATACTCCTCAATGTCAGGAGGGGTTGCACCTTGCCGCTGCGAAAAAAGACCAGGGAGAGTATTAAAAAGAATCAGCACGAAGCATACAGATTACGCCCCACTTCAAGCGCGCCCATGGCGAAGCATGGGCACAGGAGCAGGCGTACAGGCGTCACGGGCCTCACCAAGGGACGATCATCAAGGGGAAAGATGTCGCTCTGCTTGCTGTTGCGACGGCTGCGACGACCCTGTGCTGGAGGGTCCACAGCTGCGGTGTTCTCGTTGTCATCATTCATGAGCATGCGTATCTACGGATTAAAAAAAAAAGGGACGAGCCGCGAAAATGCGGTGTCAGGGCCTGCTTCACCTTTGGACATCAGGCGGTGCCAGGCAAGATGCGACAGCCAAGGAAGGAAACAAGAAGAGGACCAACCCGGATAGTAAAGGTGCGAACGTCGCTGAGCAAGCCGTTGACGAGTTGCCCAAAGCTGACATCATTCGGCTTTGGACGAGCAAGGGTACTCTCGTTATAGTCCACCGGGGGCTTATAACCCACGCGGGCCAACGCATTGTGACCACGCACGAGCCGCTTATCCCGGGAGACCGCCAACGCAGTGGGATTGTACAGAGAAAGCAAATGGGTCAACTGATGGAACATGGCGCGAGCCTGCAGTCCACGACTGGCCGGGACGCGCTGGGGCTTGTCGGCGTCGTCCAAGGTGGTCAGAAAGACTTCATCACAAAGAAAGACGTGGCCCTCCCAACAATCATTGATACGTGTCACAAAGGCAAAGAGCAGGCCAAGGCTATCATCGTTGGCGACTGCGGCGTGAAAAACGTTGCGGATATCAAATGACTTGAGATCACGCTGTGACAGCGCGTCGCGAAAGTGCACGCCAGAGGGTGTGAACCACAAATCCACGGCCTGGGTCCAAAACGAGGCCTCGCGCTAACGAGAAGAACGGTTCAGACTTGGTGAGAATGACAACATGCACGGGAGGAAGCAGCGCAGTAAGACGGGAAGGAAGGTAGACACGACTGCGTACACGAAGCAAATCAATGGCGTCGTGGGCCAGTGGTGCGCCACCGGGGAGGTTTTGGTCAAGGTTCACGGTTTGCAAGTGATCCACAGAAAAAAGGACGGTGCCGTTGGCTTCTCGCTTTAAATAATTTGGCAGGTCGGTCGCTGGAACACACAAAAGCAAGCGTTCAACCCAAACAGAGCAACCAGGAATTTCGGTGAGTCGCGCAGGCGCCGCCGAGTTGGGCACGTGGGGGTGGCGTGGTGTCGGCGGCAGGAACAAGGAAACAGAGCACAAGACGGAGCACAAGGGGGCTGGTTGACAGACCGTTTTCCAGGTTTTCTAGGTTGATGTCATCGTCTTCGAGTTGAGCATCGTCCTGGCCCCACTGAACGAGTGTAGGGTCAAAACCATACTGCTCGGCCAGCGCCGAAAGCGTGAGGGTGTTGCGGCGAATGCGGGGCTCAGCCTCGCGCTCGGCCAATGGCAAGGTCTCGTCGCCATAGGTCTCAAATGTCATGCTGCTTCGCAGCGTGACATAATCCTGTACGACGCACACATCAAGACGACGCCGGGGGTTGCGGGGAATGAGAAGGTCAAATTCTTCATCATTGGGGTCAGCGGATCAAGTAAAGAGCAAGCCCGGCTCACATCTTGGTCGGCGCTAAATTCAAACTGAAGCGAGTCACCACCAGCGAGCGGAATGGCTTGGGCCTTGCGCCTCAGGTCGGCTGCAAACTAATTGGATGGTGCGCGGAATCACCCAGCCGCGAGCAAACGCGAGAAACGCGAGGGTGAAGACATGCCGAAGGTGTGCGCACGCAGAGATGGTGTATCTGAGTGTCTTTGCCATCTTGCAACAGAGCGCGGGAGGCATGAATCGAAAGACACACGTGCTCTTCGACAAAGTCTTCAACGGGAACGGCTTCGTCATCATGGAGGCCAGCCTTGCGAAGGGCCTCGATGGTCTCCTCGCTGTGCATGGCGGGTGCGCATAGCCAAATCGCAGGTGAGCTCGGGAGCGCCAATCTCCGCAGAACCAACCTCCCAATTCTTTGGCACAGGGAGGAAAGCGGCGCTGACGTGCTGAAGGCGGCAGCACTGACCTAAACTGGTGGTTACTTTGCTTTTGCCCCATCTCGATGGTTGACAAGGCCAAACTCGGGCTGGGGCCAAAGGGTGGGAAGGCGTGTGCTGCGAGTCGATGCAGCCCGCTGGCCTCGACGAGCGCAGGTTGGAGCCCCCCGGCCCTCAACGAGGGAAAGAAGGATGTCCAGCCGTGGCGGTGTCCAATCCGCTTATAGCAACGAGTTACGAAAGCCTTTGAACGTCATGGAGCGACCCAACCTGGACCACATCAATGGCAGGACGGCGGGATGCGTGAGCTAAGACCCTCTCAACGCTCCAGCTGCGTCAGACACATGACACCTCGGACATCCGCCGCCTTTTGCTTCCCTTTTAATCTCCCGACATGCATGCCACCGGAACTCAAATGCAGGTCATGACCCGGCAGCACACACTTGGTCCAGAACACCGATGGCACGTACCCTCAAGGTCAATGCCACTGCCACTTTTGAGCTCCGCTCCACCGTTGGCTGAACGTCAAAAAAAACACAAAAAATACGAGAGAGAGAGAGTTAGAGAGGGAGCGTTCAAGAGTGATGGTGGCAGAGATAGGGAGATAAAATGAGATAGAAGCAGAGATGGGCCCAAACTCAGTTCATTTCTCTGTTGAGAAACCATGGCAAAGGCACAGATAGTACTTGAACCAGAGATACACTGAGAGATAGAACCAAACCAAAACCCGGTCAAAGAGACAGACAGAAAACAAGACATTTCTTTTGTGTTTGCTCGTTGGTACTGTATCCGCCCCTTTTTTGGTGGAGCGGGGGCTCTGCGCTTGGTGCCCTTGGAAGATCTGGCCGATTTTTTTCTGCTTTGATTGATCTTTGCGACGCATACTATGGCGATGGTGGCAATGGGGATGGCCTGTTGTTGTTGGATATTGTTGACACCGCTGGGGTGGGGAAGGGCTTTCCTTGGTTGGTTTGGTGCCGTTGAGAGAAGCTGCTCAACGAGTTGAAAACCGACAGCGTAGCGTGGGGTGTGTGTGTGTGTGTGTGCCAGCGCCGAAGATCGATACACTCGGGGTAAAAAGCGTAACCTCTGATTGAAGATACCAAAAACTGTTAAAGAAAGGAGAGAGAATTGGTGAAGCAAAGGGAAGATCCGAAGGAGAAAAGACAGCAGCGCTTGGAACAGAACATGGCGTGGGCACACGAGGCAACTCGGCGCAGGGCATGAGCGTGCTCGACCATGGCACCGGACGCAGATGCTGTCAACGGCAGGAAAGAAAGGCGGAGGAGCAAGCGACAAGCGCGAGAGAACACTTTGTTGGTGAACAAACACAAGCCGCTTGGACATCAACCGAGAACAAGACGCACACCCCTTTCCCTCGGAATCGCAAACAAATGAACACAAGAGAAACAAGACAGGATAAAGCTGAGGAAAGGGGGCGTGGGGAAGAGGAAAAGAAGAGATGGGGGTGACAAACGAGTAAAGAGATCAAGTTTCACAGAGAGAGAGAAAAAAAAACTACAGCCTAGCAGCAGCCGCCACCCTCCGAATTGGTGGGTTTCTGCTGGGGAGCGCGGAGATCCAGCCGCGTAGAACCGGCACCACCGGCCAATTGCGGGCCAACCTTGATGCCATTCATCTGAAGAAACGAGCCAAAAGAGATGTGCCCCAACAAAAGACGCAAGCAATGGACGGTGAGAAAGTTTGGAGCTGCACGTGCGCCGATTGAAACGAAAAGCAGGAGCTCGATCAGTGGGCCTTGCCTCGTTCTTGATGTCAAAGACGTTCTCCTGAATCTTGGAGTAAATGGCCTGGGCCGTTTGGATAAAGGCCTCCTCGACATTGGTGGCGTTCTTGGCAGAAGTCTCCATGAAGATGAGGCCGTTTTCCCGCGCAAATTGCTCGCCTTCCTCGCGTGTGACGGCACGCTTTGAGTCCAAATCGCTGCGGATCGACAAGGAAACAAAGGAAGGCCATGTGAGCCTGAAAAAACGAACGGCCCATCACACATACACACATATGCATGCATCACACACACACACACACACACACACACACACACACACACACACACACACACACACACACACACACACACACACACACACACACACACACACACACACACACACACACACACACACACACACACACACACACACACATGCATGCATCCCACGCATATTGCATATTGCATATTGCACAGCGCAAAGGCAGACATACGTCTTGTTGCCAATGAGGATGATAACCATGTTAGGATTGGAGTGCGAGCGAGCATCCTCAAGCCATGTCGTCAAGTGGTTGAACGTGTCGCGGCTACCAAGTTTGAGGGAGCAATGCGCAATTGCAATGATGAGTCAATCATCAGAACCGATGGGGGTCAGGTGGGGCGCGGCGGTCACAGGCCCGAGGTATTAGCATTGTCGCCCACGACTACCACGGCCCGGTGCCAGAGACGCTGGTGGCATTGAATTCTTACCGAGTGATGTCATAGACCAGAAGAGCGCCAGCGGCGCCACGATAGTACGAGCGCGTGATGGAACGGAAAGACTCTTGACCAGCCTATGGAACGTCGGAAGCGCAGAAATGGCAAACTGTGAGCCAGGTTTGCTGCCAAGTGCTGCTTTTTTAATTTTTTTTTGGCTGGCTTTTCTCCCAGCCGGATGATGATGACAGGTGTCCCAATGCGCGGGGCCAAAAGAAAGCTATGCAGGCCGCACCGTGTCCCAGATTTGCAGCTTGATTTGCTTGTTATCGATTGAGACCATGCGCGCGCCAAACTCGACGCCTACGCGCACAAAGGATGTCAATGCCGCGCGGAATGTGAGACGTGGTTTCAGCACGACGAAGATGGGGATGGTGTGATCACGAGCGACAAGCATGCAAGGAGGCTTGACCCACCAATGGTCAGATCGTGAACGGGCTGAAAGCGCTTGTCCGTAAACTGAAGCAACAGACAAGATTTGCCAACACCTGAACAAGCGAGGGAGGATCAGGGAGGCTCCGGTGGCAGGGTGGAGAGGGATGATCGAAACATTGCGCCGACAAGGGCCAACGTGTCGGACATACCCGTATCACCAATGATAATGTATTTGAAGAGATATGAGTAGCCGCTCATGGTGACGATGCTGTGAAATGCTAGCACACAAAACCTATGCAATCGCACGAGAGCGATGCAAAAAAAAAAAAGAAAAGTGGGGGGCGGGAGGGTCAGCAACTCGGGACAGTCATTCGGGCTAGCAAGCGATCCGCGGGCCTGGATACGATCACACGGGGACCGCGTCAGTCATGGATGTGTTGGTACTTTGTGCAAAATTGAATGTGTTTAATCATAAAAAGGAAGGGGAGCCCAACCCAAGGACAGTCGGGCAGAACGATCCACCAACAAGACGACCAAAACGCGGGACCAGGCCGTGCACAAGACCAAGCTGTGAAACAAGAGCCAACGACTCATCAGCCTGCTTTTAAAAGAAAAAAAAAAAAAAGAAGAAGAAGAAGAAATGCAACCAGAAGGTGTGCCCGGAGGAGGATGGAGGAGGAGGCAAAACACGACGCGACACGACACGACGCGCCGCGACGGCAGCGACACCAACGAGCGCAGCGGCAAAGGAAGCGACTGTGGTGACCGCCTATGGCGAGCGATCCGACACGCGACACAACAGGCTACGTCGCCGCATTTGGCGTGCCAGCCCCCCCAGATGGTCTGGTCGATGCTCTTCAAGACGAGCGAGATGCCCGTGTGCGTTGTCGTGTGTCGTGTGTCATCTTGCGTCTTGCGTGCACACGCACGCACGCACAAGCGCAACGCAAAAACCCCCGCCCAAAATGCACCGACCCCATCGACTCACCAGTTGATACAAGGAAAAAACAGGCGCGCGACTCGCACCCCCGTCCAGTCCAAGCAAAAAAGGAGATGTAGCGGAAAAAAAAAAAGCCGACAGCCCCTTTGCGCCGTCACTGAGAGAGAGAGAGAGAGAGAGAGAGACTGTGCCAGCAGTAAAAGCGGTCAAGACTTGAATATGCAGTTGACAGCCGTAGCAGTGCAGATCTCCTTTTGTCTTTCTTTTGTCCTCTCTCTCCTTTTGTCTCTTCTCTCTCTCTCTCTCTCTCTCTCTCTCTCTAAACCGACCAAACCAACTCTCTCTCTCTCTCTCTCTTTCTCTCTCTCTCTCTCTCTCTCTCTCCTTTTGTCTCTCTCTCTCTCTCTCTCTTCTCTCTTCTCTCCCTCTCTCTCTTCTCTCTCTTCTCTCTCTTCTCTCTCTTCTCTCTCTTCTCACTCTTCTCTCTGTTTCGCTCAGGGCCAATGGACAGATCAAGACAAGTGGCACCAGTCTTGCCTGACACTATTCATCACCTGCCGCATCCAAGCTGCCGTTTCACCACGAGCACAAGCTTTGGAGCTCTCTCTCTCCCTCTGTCTCTCTCTCTCTCTCTCTCTCTCTCTCTCTCGCTCTCTCTCTCTCTCTCTCGCTTCAATTTCTTCACACACGTAGACATTGTGTTTCATGGTGGACAAGCCAAAAGAAGCTAGAGACGAGGCAGCAAAACGACAGAGATGGCTTTGAAATGTTGAGCTCGGAGAGAGAAGAAAGCAACCCAAAAGCAGAGAGAGGCACAGAAGCGTGACAGAACCGCAGAGAATGCCATCCACGAAAAGCAAAGCTTTACTACCACATGAGAACCCCTAGTACGTGTGGTAGCGGTTAAGGCTTGGAAATAGATCGATGAAATGAGGTGAGGTCAGCCTATAGCCAGTATCAACATCTTGACCCCCTTTGTTGGACAGGTTCTGTACGTTCTCTCTCTCATTCTCTCTCTCTCTCTCTCTCTCTCTCTCTCTCTCTCTCTCTCTCTCTCTCTCTCTCAAACTCTCTCTCTCACACTCTCTCTCTCACACTCTCTCTCTCAAACTCTCTCAAACTCTCTCTCTCAAACTCTCTCTCTCTCTCAATCTCTCTCTCTCTCTCTCTCTCTCTCAAACTCTCTCTCTCTCTCTCTCTCTCTCTCTCTCTCTCTCTCTCTCTCTCTCTCTCTCTTCATTCTCTCTGTCTCTCTCTCATTCTCTCTCACTCAATTCTCTTGTTCTCGAACAAGAGAGAGACAAGAGCACACTTCCGCGTGTGTGTGTGTCGAAAAAAGTTTTTTTTTCTTTTTTTTGTGTTTTTTAAAAGAAAGATATGGCAGTCGGATCGGTTGTGGCACTGGCCGTCGAGGCCGCTGGCGACAGTGAGGGCCAGTACTGTGCTTTGCTGTCTTGGTTGGTTGTACGCAACCCAGAGGATGAGGTGGACAGCGCCCCGGCGTGTACCGTGGTGGTGCGGAGCGACGAGACGACAGCCATTGATCAGGAGCAGCTCACAGCCCTCGGCCTCACGGCCGCTCTCGTGGAGCGCGCTGGTCCCGCCAGCCGCGCCCTGGCTCAGGTATGACTGCACTTGTGGCTTGCTTTCGCTGGCAATGCTGCTTTGCCCGGCTATTGCTGAAGCACGGCATCGTCGCTGAATGCATTCGAGGAAGGGCGCCAGGCCAGCGGGCTCGCTCCCCGGCGAGACGGGGGCCGTCGCGGCGTCGTCCGTGCCCACTCACTGACCGCGTGGTGCTGATTTACGCTCTGCTGGTAGCTGGAGTACATCTGCAGCTCTTTGCACGCCCCCCGCGTGGTCATCAATGACCGCCTCTGGTTTGACACGGTGCGTGGCGGATGATGATGATGATGATGATGCAGCATACTTGAATCCTGCTTCTTCTTCTTCTTCTTCTTCTTCTTCTTCTTCTCGGCTTGTACCTCGCCTCCATGCCCCCTTCTGACCGGACAGGCCTCGTTGATCTACCCCCTAGTTGCTTGCCACCGTGGCAGAACCTACCAAACACTTGAGCGCTGCCGTGGATCTCGCCATCGTCTCCACCGTTGAGGTCTCGGGAACTGGCTACGAGCTTTGCAAGGCCATGGCCAAGGCCGTTCCCTCCCCCACTGCAACAGCCCCCGCCCACAACGGCACGACAGTGCGCGAAGCACCCGCGCCTTCCGGCCCCGTCGCCAACCTTGGTCCGTGCCTGACTTAAACTCGTGGTGTAGGAAAAAAAAACCTCTGATCCACTTGGGCGCTGCCACAACACTCATTATTTTACTGGATCAATCTCTAGGCACGGCCGATGCATGGTCTGCGGAACCCAGTGCCAAGCGCAAAAAGGTCAAAATTGATCCCGACGTGCTCAGCTCCCCCGTTATCCGCCTTCGTGGTCTCAAGTGGGAGGTAAAGCGCCACCTGCCCACCCTGTCGTCGACCCCGTGTTTCTTTGTTTTTTTGTTTGTTTGTTTTTTTCTCTCCCCAAGAATCGTCTTTTTTACAGGTTACCCGACTCGCCTCACCTCTCTTCGTCAATTCAACGCAGTGGGCGGCCAAGGAAGTCCTTCCCATGCTCGAGGGCCTGGATGTCCAGGCCGATTCCGGTTTCATCTGCTACAACCGTCAGGTCAGTGATCCAACACACCACGCCACACCCACATGGTTGTTTTCTTCCACCATGCAACAACTGACCCGTCATTTGGTGGCTCACCCCCTGCCCTCCCCCCGCTTGCTATCCTGCATTGCATTCGCATATCACAGGGCAAGCCGATTGGTGAGGCCTACTTTATTATGGGATCGCCCGAGGCCGCGCAGGCTGCCTTTGCTCGTTCGGGTGCCATGCTCGGCGATCGCTACATTGAGGTGTTTGTCGAGAGCCCTCAGACCTACTACCGGGCACGGGCCCTCTCCAAGGATGCCGCCAATGACTCGCAGTACCTCTCTGTTCACGGCCTGCCCCTTGACACCACCAAGGTATCCCAACATGCCCCTGCCCACTCGCTCCTGCCTGATCAACTGCAGTGGAGTCGCTCGTCGTGCCCAATGCATTTCTCAAATGAGCACCGACTGGTTTCTCACCGAATGCACCTGGTTTTTGGTATTTCAGCATGATTTGGAAGAGTTTATGGCCCCGGCTCAAGTGTTGGACGTGATGCTAGAATGCGTACGCGCCGCCTCCTTGGCTTGCTGCATTCAACCGGCTTGTCCTGTTCCAAGCATCATAAGCCCGGTCCCGTCATGTGTCGGTGCGTGATTTTTTATTTTATTCTTTTAAATTCTTGATAGAATCCTGAAGGGCGATGCGAGGGCAAGGCATGCGTGTTGGTGTGCACGCCAGAAGACGCACGTTTGGCATTGGAAAAGAACAAGTGGGTGTTGCGGCTGGGTTGACAGGCATGGCGATTGTTCTGGTGGTTGGCGTTGTGTCGTGTCGACAGTTCGGTCCAACACGTGGCCCATTGGTGGGTTATAAACGCCAACTTGCTCATTGGTGACCTGAACGGATATGTCTGGTCCTTTGCCCCCGCACAGGACCGAATTCAAGGGCCGCAGCGTTGACATTGAAATGGGCACGGCCGATACCTGGAACGACCTGTTGAAGTGGTACCAGGATCAATTGTTGCGGGTCAGTGGTCCATGACAGGATGCGCGAGACCACGCCGTGCTTGTCTCTCTCATGCCGTCCCGCCTCCTCACCTGGTGTGTCGCTTTGTGGCATCTGGCTTGCAGAGCACGGACACGCTGGTGGCGCGCCTGCGCGGCTTGCCCTGGTCTTGCTCGCGGGACGACGTCTATGACTTTCTGCAGCCGTCGGGCATCAATGCCAACAACGTCTTTGTTTGCCATGCGCTCAACGGCCGCCCCACTGGCACGGCCTACGCTGTTTTCAGCGGCTCCACCGCCAGCCAATGCTTTGACCTGGCCATGCGCCAGCACAAGTCTAAGATTGGCGATCGCTATATTGAAGTCAACCGCTCCACGGTGGCAGAGATGCTGCGCGACATTTTTGGTGACATTCTCGTCCCTCTCTCATCCCAGGTATGCCCTTTGGGTGCGCCGGCATGTGACTGCACCGTCTTGAACCGTCGCTCTTGAATGTCCCAGGAATGGCTTTGACCAACACTGATGGGACTGGACTTGATTGTAGGACGCAATGGCCCTGTCAGCCAACTTTCGCGGCGGCGGCGGCGGTGGTCGCCCATATGGCCACTACCCGCAGGAATCCGCTTCGGGCTATGCCGGTGCCATGCGCGGCCATGGAGGCGGCTACGGTGGTCATGGTGGTCACGGTGGCCATCACGGCGGTCACGGTGGTCATGGCGGTCACGGTGGTCACGGTGGTCACGGCAACTACGGTGGTGGTGGCTATGGTGGCGGCGGCTACGGTGGCGGCTCTGGTTACAGCAACAGCAACTTTGGTGGCGGCTACGGCGGCGGTGCTGCTGCCAACAACGGCTACATTGAAATCCTGCTGCGCGGGATCCCGTACGAGGCCACCGAGGTCGACATCGACTACTGGATGACTGGCACACCAATTGTTGCGGTGCGTCCATTCCCATGCCCATGCCCAAGTGTGCATGCCAATGCTTTAAATATTTAGAGACCTTGTCCATGCCTCACCCCATATCATGTGCTACCGCTGGGCCTCGAACAGGGAATGACACGGGTACTGCGCAAGCCCAATGGGCGGTCTCAGGGAGACGCCGTTGTCTATACAGCCACGGTGAGTCGCTGATCTTCCTCCGTCTCTCTTACTCGTATGCTGTTTCAGTAATGGCCCTCACCTGCAATCAACTATTGCTCCGTTAGCGTGAGGGTGCGGGCATGATCAAGGCGATGCGTCACAACCAAATGATGGGACATCGCACGATTGAGGTTTTGATGCGCAACTGAGCAGTCGGAAATCCAACATCACTATATTCCATTCCGCCCATCGCTTGATTGTCTTCTTTCTTTCCGCCTGGTCTCTCTTCTTCTCGCATACCATGTGCTGCACGCCAATGCGCCGTGAACTGGGACAGAGTCATGACCAGTGAAGAATGTGGAGATGTAGATGCGAAAAAAGAGGATCAAAAGCAAAGAAGAAGAAGAAGATGGCGCGCTCACAGCGGTCAGGAAATTGAGGGTGATACCAAACGACGGGCAACCAATTCGCCGCGCAAAGACCAGAGGAAAGCTAGCTAAATTGCTTGCAACTTGTCGTTGTCATGTTTGGGGGGAAAAGACCGAGAAAGAGATAAAATAGTATCATCAAGACACACAGACTGGTCCTGAAAGCTGAGCCAACTCTGGCTGGCCAGCTCAAGGAGCGCGCACATGATTCAAATTGGGGGAAAGCGTCCAGCTCAGCTGGAATCTTGGGGAAAGCCTCACCCTGACGCAAGGCCAGGAAAACAAGGCCTCACTTCTTTTTGGTCGTTGATTTCTTCTTGACAGATTTCTTTTTGGTGGTGGACGTGGTCGTCTTCTTGGCAGCCTTGGCAGCCGCTGTCTCTGCGGCAGCTTCAGCCGTCACCAGCTCGGCCTCTGCACACACAGGATGACATGGGAGCATGACCAAATCCATGATGGCGCCAGATTAGCGCGGCAGGACGCGATGCACGAGCCATGTGAAAAGGATCAAAACATCGGCGTAGCATGCCAAGGCACGACTTACCCGAGGGCTCGGCTGGCAAGGAAAAGGTGATGGCTGCAGCCTGAGCTTGGGTGCAGATGCTGCACATCGGGGAGGCTTTGAGGGGCGTATAGAGGGCACCGCAATTGGGACACACCTTGGGCTGAATGGGCTCAGAGGGGCCCTTGGCCGCCGACGTGGATTTGGTGCTCTTCTTCTTCTTGACCACCTTCTTCTTGGCCATCTTGACTGGTGATCAGACCTCGTTCCAGGACCGCACTCCCCCCGTGACGTGACGCGCCAATCAGGAAAAAGTCGCGCGCGCGCTCTCTCTCTCTCTCTCTCTGAAGAAATTTTTGCCGAAAGACAAACGTCACCAAGGATTTGGTTTCAACAGTTGTTCACAACAGCAAATATCTCGTGAAAAGGCGTACCATTTTAGAACAACTTTTTAGCTTTGTAATCTTTCAAAATGTACGCAAGTTTCCCTCTCTCTCTCTCTCTCTCTCTCTCTCTCTCTCTCTCTCTCTCTCTCTCTCTCTCTCTCTCTCTCTCTCTCTCCTTGCTAAACCTGCACACGTTTCAAGTTCGTGATGTATCTTGTTGTGGCGATCGACCGCTACTCGTCACGTAAACTAAAATACTCACCTCTAAAGTATACCTATAGCTCAAGAGGGGGCGGCAACCCACGAGCTGGGGCAAAAGGGCAGCGTGGTCGGGAGGCTGAATGGGCCAGGTGCTGTGCCAACAGGGGATGGGCTGAGGGATATGGTTGGTGAAGGACATGTCTGCCAGTTGGTCTGGTCGCTGGCAGTTGAAGAGCCATGCCTCCAGCGGCGCTGTCTGGTCCGTCGCTTTCAATCCCGCCCCCTTGTCCTTTTGTTTGCCTTTGAATGAAAGCACCACCAGGCTCTCTGAACCAAGGCTATTCAGACTTTATTCTCTAGCAATCACGACGATTAACGAGAAAACCAGGCAAATTCAGACAACACCGTACCCCCATGGACAAATTCACCAACACATCTCTACATCCCACCACCGGGCCCACTCATTCTCTTCTTCTTTCTCCGTCTCCATTTTACAGCACAAAACGCAGCAGCAGCAGCAGCAGCAGTCGTCGCCGTCGTCGCCGCCGTCGTTGCCGTCGTTGCCGTCGTCGTCATTGCTGTCGTCGATTCCTTAAACTACTGGCGGTACGTGCGCTTCTCCCGGCCGCGGTTGTAAGGCCTGGCTTTGCAAAGGCTTCATTTGCCCCGCTCGATTCAGGAGCCACAGGTGACCCCCCACCACCACCTCGGATTCGCCTGACGCGTCTTCGATTACCCCCCGTCGCTCGTGCGCAAGCTCCAACCTGGTCCCAGGTATGTGCTGGTTGTGGCCATTAGGGTACACGTATGAATACTTTCTTGTATCTGGGGCCCCCTGGGTGCCAGTGGTGGCTGCCAGTGGATGGGCCAAGCTGGTGTCTAAAGTCTAAAGCACATAAAACCTGCTCCCGCTCTCTGGCCTCATGACCAGAACCGTGTGTGTGTCACCACTTGGCAATAGGCACCATGGCAGACTCCTCCACGCCCAGCCGCAAGGGCACGGCCAAGCGAACCAAGAAGGAGAAGGGCTTTGTCAAGCTCAAAATCTTCTTTGAGCAGTCCTCGGGCCACTTGGTGGCAGAAATCCGTGAAGGCCGCGGCCTCCCAAAGCCATGCCAGCCCTTTGTGAAGGTGGCCATTGCCTCTGAAAAGGCATCCAAGCAGAAATCTGACCCCGCGCGCGAAAAGTCCACCGACCCCGTCTGGTCTACCGGCTTTCGCTGGCCTCTCGGCAATGCCGAGGAGTATATGGAAGACGTTCTCGAGCTCACGCTCTGGGAGAAGGGCGCGCTCAAGGACCAATTCTGTGGCCGCATGGCCTTTCCCATCGGTGAGCTGATTGAGAACCCGGACCCGCTGGAGGGTTGGTTTGCCCTTCTTGATGCGGACAAGGGCAAGTCGGGCTACCGCAAGTTTGAGCCCGATACTAGCGAGGGCAAGGTGGTCGTCGCCCTCTACGATAACGACCCTCGTGGCGACATGGAACTCTCCATGCGCAAAGATGACTATCTTTTGGAGCTTCGCAGCGACGGTGCCTGGGTCCAGTGCCGCCACCTCATGACCAACGAGGAAGGCTTCGTCCCCGGTACCTTTGTCGCCCCATACAAGTCACTCGAGGCCGAGCCCTGGTTCTTTGGCCCCATCACGCGTGCCAAGGCGGAAAAGCTGCTCGGTGTTCCCGCCCGTAAACACGGCTGCTTCCTCATCCGCGAGTCAGAGAGCACGCCCGGCACCTTCTCCCTGTCCATGAAGGACGGTGAAAACGTCCGGCACTTTCGCGTCAAGAAGGTGGCCGGCGGCATCAAGCTGCAGGGCGTGAGTTGCCGCACGGCTCGTCTCACTCCTCCCGCGCATCTGAAACCCCGCACAAACTTCGTCCACACACCCATTCGCACACATCCGCGCACTCGCCCGGCACCCGCGCCGTGGTCCTCGCCTCACCCACCCGCATGCCTGCCCTGCAATCCCGTACACAGTCACCTTCCAGCCCCCACAAGGACCTGCCGTCCCTTATCAAGTACCACAAGCGGCACCGCGGTGGTTTGACCACCACGCTCAAGGTACCCTGTCCACGCGAGATTCGCGCCCCTGATATCGGTTACGCCGTCAAGGACAAGTGGGAGGTGGACCGCGACACCATCGTCCTTGAGAAACAGTTGGGTGAGGGCCAGTACGGTGAAGTCTACAAGGGTCGCTGGAACGGCACGACCGAGGTGGCCATCAAAACGCTCAAGTCGGCCGCCACCTCGGCGGAGGAATTTTTGCAGGAGGCTCAGCTCATGAAGGTGCGCGCGCGAGTTGGCATTGCCCTTGCCCGTGCCCGAGTACGTGGTCACATGGTCTCTCACCCGGCCATCCCGACTACGCTTTTATTGCTTTTTTTTTATGGTTAGAAACTGCAACACGATAATCTGGTCAAGCTGCACGCGGTGTGCACTATTGGTGAACCCATTTTCATCATCACCGAGCTGTGCAAATTTGGATCACTGCTCGACTATCTGCGCAGCCCCGCCGGCGAGTCGCTGCGCCTGCCCACGCTCATTGACATGGCCAGCGACGTAGCGCACGGCATGGCTTACCTTGAGGAGAACAATTACATCCATCGTGATCTGGCAGCACGCAACATTCTCGTCGGTGAAAACAACATTTGCAAGGTGGCCGACTTTGGTCTGGCGCGCGTCGTGGCCGACCGTGAGGAGGGCTACACGCCTGAAACTCTGGCCAAGTTTCCCGTGCGCTGGACGGCCCCAGAGGCCATGAGCACCAACACATACAGCATCAAGTCTGACGTCTGGTCTTTCGGCATCCTCCTCACCGAGATTGTTACCTATGGTCGCAAGCCTTACGAGGGCATGACCAACAAAGAGGTCGTCAAGTTTCTTGACAAGGGCGAGCGCATGGAATGCCCACCCGGTTGTCCCGAGCGTCTCTATAAACTCATGCTCGATTGCTGGCGCACAGTACGTTACTCACCTGGGCCCTCCCTCTCTACTCGAGGCTTCTTACCCCTCACATGCACACACTATCGTTATGGCCCTAACTTTGTTTCAACTTGCGTGCGTGCCCTCGTGTAGACGCCCTCTGACCGTCCTGCCTTTGGAAGTCTCAAGTTTCAACTGGAAGACTTTTTCCATGGCGAGGCTCAATATGCCGATGCCAGCACATTGTTCGACTCAAACGAGAAGGAGTAGAACGTGCCCGTGGCACATAGAGATTTATCTTGGCCGCTCTTGAGACATGACACGCCTTGCCCACCGAACCACTTTCTTCTCTCGTCTCATTCTTCTGGCGCGTGCTTTGCTGCTCTGCGTTTGTTTGGTACTCTCATTTTTTTCCCTGTGCATTTCCAGTTGTCCTCGTTCCTGCGGAAGCCCATGACAACCCCCTTACCTTTCTGTTTTTTTCTTTTTTTTTATAAGCATTCGTTGACTTTTTCATTTTTTTCTCTCCATCAACGCATCTGTCGTTTGTTGCACCACGCTCCAGTCTTTGTCCCTGTTCCGTTCCGTCCCCTGTGCCTCCTGTATCCTCGTGTTCTTGCCTTTCGTGCCCATGTATGTATGTATGTATGCGGATGCATGTATCAGTGATGTATCAGTGATTACTCTCCTGTGCTTGCTCGCGTCCTGGCCAATGTGTCAGATTGTTCATCTTCAATCGAGCAGGTTGTTTGCATCACAAGCCCCTTCAACCACGATACGGTGCAAGTCTCATCCCGCTCAAAGTCATTGTCTGGTGTGCGCGATTGGGACCGCCGAGCAGAATTAACACGAGCGCTGTTTGAGATCAATTATGTAAGAAGCCAGGGGCGGGACTTTCAGTTACACGCGTTCAACAAAAGTCAGCTGCAATCCAGCAGGGTCATGAAGCGGCTTGTAGCGCCCGCATGCGTTGAGCATTGCGCTTTGCCACGACGCGCAGCGTTGTCTGCTGCTCCGCAGGCGTCATGGCCTGCCAGTTGGTGATGCGCGACATGGTACCATCCACGTTGACCACAATTGGACCGAGTTGATCCATCTTGACAGCATGGCCCCCAACCTCAACCGTCTTGACACCGGCCCCGGTATCCTCCCCGTCATTGGCGGGCTTGTCATCCAAAGCCAGTGGCTCGGCTGCCCCGGAACTTGCCTCCTCTTGACCGCTCATCCTGCTGAGTTTCACTTTTTTCTTGTGTGTGTGTGTGTGTGTGTGTGTGTGTGTGTGTGTGTGTGTGTGTGTGTGTGTGTGTGTGTGTGTGTGTGTGTGGAAAATGCGAGAGAGAGCGTGATGAGATTTTTTGTTAAAAGCAATTTTCTTCTCTCTCTCTTTCTTTTGCTTTCTCTCTCGATCTCGATCTCTCTGGATCTCTCGCTCGATGGTCTTAAAATGCCGATGGAGGCGCGGGGCACGTTGCGTTCTTGTCATCATGACAGACGTGGGCAGTCTCGCTATAGATTGATTCGGGATGAACACGGCTTCTTCTTCCAACCTCGAGCAAAGAAAGCGTGCTGATGACGGTTCTCTCCCTTCAAGCTGCCTAGTAGATGAAGGGGATGATTCGATAGGGAACGCGTCGCACGTATTCAGCCCATTTGGAGCCGTACTTGGCCGCACAGATCTCATCGTCCTACGATCGGGGAAGCAGAACGTCGGAAGCAGGCCCAAAGTCAGACATGACCCAATTCGCCCCGCCCCCCCTACCCGCACCCACTCATGAATACACACCTCGATTTGGCGGGGAATAAAGAGGGCGACATAGTAGGCCGGATACAAGAGCGGCCACAATGAGCCCGTAGCGAGCACTCCAGGCAGGGCCAGCGCCAGGCCCTGAAGGATCTCGCCCAAGTAATTGAGGTGGCGGCTTGCGCCCCAAAAGCCCGAGCAAAGGATGCGCGTGCCCGGCACGGTCACCGGCCGCACGCCCAAGAACGAGGCACGTGGATCGAGCTTAAAGTAGTATTTTTGCATGTTGGCGCCCCGCGTCATGATCCAGCCCACGAGGAAGAGGACGGCCACCAGCAAACATTGGGTGATGCTCAGGTCCGCCTCGGGCGTGAGGGCCGGCACCAGCGACCAAACGCCCACCGAATAGAAAAAGGGGTAAAACACCAAGCAGCCCCAAGTCAGCTTGAAGCCCACTCTAAGAGATGACACGCACCCATGGAAAACAAAAAGATGAGAGCAGCAGTTGTACGCCAGAATACTACTGATGTTGATGGCCGGCACCAACGCCGCAAAATCCTTCAAGCACCAAGAGGTGTCCAAGTCAAGATCCCCCTCCAGCGCCCGTTCTCGACCCTTTGTCTGTGATGCGAGGAACACGCACTTTTCCGCAAAGAGATCGTAGGTGTACAAATGAACGTGCTCGTGGTAAATGTACTGTAGCCACAAGCCGCCATCCATGAGTTACCTCCGTCGATCTCGCCCATGAGAAAGAGGCAGCCGATCAATCCCATGACCCTCGTACCTCAACAATGAACCATGCAAACATGGCCTGGTAAATGACCATGGCCCTGCTAGGTGCACCATCTGGCTGCATGTCCACGTGGCGAGCCAGCGCAGAAAGCAGTGTCACGTGGAGCAGCAACGCCCCGACCAAATACAAGTACATCTAAAACCCAACCAAACCATCAGTGCCAGGCAGCTCAACAACAACAACAACAACAACAACGGTGAAACCAGTCCTTGAGCATGCCTGATACCGACCTTGATGTCAAGAGCACCGAAGCGAGGGTTGAACTCGGTCCCGGTGTAATAGTGAAAGCCAAAGGTCTGCTCGCGTGCTTCATGAGGCCGTTCAAACTCAGCCCGTGCTGCGGCATTACCAGCCTGATCGGCCGTCAAGCATCGGCGTGCACCCTGATAGCGACCCGGGCGCAGGCCCCACAACACCAAACCCAGCGCTGTCACCAGCCCCACGACGTTGGCAGCCATGGCCACAGACCAAAAGTGCGTGGCAATGTAGTCGAGCGGCACCAGCTCCAATTGGTGCAGCCAGTAAACCAGCATCAAGCCCGCCACGTACACCCGCAGCCCATTCAAGACGTACGGCAGCGGCTCCCCCGCCCGATCGCAAGCATACCCTTTCACGCGCGGACCCGGCACCACTGCATACAGCCCCGCCGTCACGAGGTCCACCCCGAGCACAAAGGCCACCGCCCCGATCAGCTCCACCGCCAGCTCGATCGCCATTTCCCTGGATCTCATCAAAAGTAAAATACTTTTATTTTATCTGACATGATGATAAGGAGGAGTATCGTGACTGCTTTCGTGCTCTCAATTCTGAGCTGGTGCAGCAAAATTTTTATTTTTTTGAGCTTCACGTGGTGAACACACACACACACACACACACACACACACACGGCAGCGGGTCGCCCGGGTATCGCCTGGCGGGATCGGCCGGGGGTTGAGCGGCTGGGGCAGGCAGGTTCTGGGGGCGGTGATCAGGCTGGTGACGCCGTGTAGGTCACGTGCTGAGACGGGTTGGTCAGCGCGTGGTAGAGCTGTACGACAAGATCGGATCACCCAGGTCTGTGTGTGTGTGTGTTTCAAGCCCCGCCCCCTCCCCCTCCCCCACCGCCGGCTCATGTCCTGCTCATAAGCTCCCGCTCCGGATCGAGGAGCCTGACTCCGAGCCTGATTTTTTTTTTTTGAATTGCTTGATCGTGCCCCTGCTTTGACAATGTAGTTGGTAACGCCGTTGGCCTTGATCAAGAAAGAACCCGCCACCGCCGCATCATGGGGGTGCTTGTTGGGCCCGTGGTGGTGCCTTCCATGCCACGTTCGTGCGCTTGATCCTGCCTCGCCTTCCCCCGAATGCGCAGCGCCACTCTAACTTTGTGGTGCATGCTTCTGGATTGAGCAGCGGTCGCCAACACAGACATCTTTCTGGCTGCCGCCACCGGGTGAGGGGCTGATTGCCGAGATGTATCCAGCCACTTCTCCTCCTTCCAACGACGGCTGCACCCCTCGGTTCACATGCATCACCACTCACCATGCCTGTGGGGGCAATGCGGTAGCGACGTCCTGCGCTGCCAAAAATTGGCTGAGCAAGACCCGGGCCTACTCCATACCGTGCCACAACCTGATGCATGTCCACCCTTTCACATTGCAGCCCTCAGCGGCCACTTGCCGCTCCTCGAGTGGTTCATAGCGTACGATCAGCCCACCCAGCTTTTCGCTGTGCATGATAGCCCTCGCGCGCGCTTTTATCGCTGCTGCGTTCACTCACCCGGCGTCTTTAATCATGACACCCCCTGACTGACCGATGCTAGGCGTGAGGACATTAACATTGAAGTTACAAGCGGACCCCGCAAGTGCACCGCACTGCACTACGTACGTTGACGTCTTGGAACTGGTCATCCAACATTTGTTTTGCCGCCGCAAGTCTCACCCCTCCCGACTTGCAATATAAATCACAGGCCGCACAAAAGGGGCACTGGCGTTGTGTGCTGCTTTTGCTCCGCCACAACGCCGAGGTGGATGCACAAGACGCCTTGCAGGTAACCCTCCGATACCACGCAAACGAAGCATCCACAAGACCAAGCAAGCTTGATGGCAGCAGGGCATTCATCACTCAGGCGTAACGAAACGAAAAAAAAAAAAAATCACAAAAAAGACAACCCATTTCGTCACGAGCCAAGCGTCGGCATTTGACTCATTCGTGGCCACCTGCTCGTTGCTGGATCTGACATAGAGCACGCCACTGATGTATGCCTCCACCAACGGACATGAGATGGCCATGGCAATCTTGTTGGGCAATGGTGCCAACGTCAACCACCGTGATAAGCTCGGGGATACGGCCCTCTTCTGGGCTGCACAAAAAGCAGGTTGGTCTCTCTCCCTTGTGGCGCTGCTCGCTGTACTTGACGCTTGGTTGGCATCCCATTCTGTCATTCTGATTTACTTTTGTGGTTTAACTTTTGCAGATCACCTGCGCGTTCTCGAGTTGCTTCTGGCTTATGGCGCAGATGCAACCATGCAGGATCGCCATGATCAAACACCGTTGCACATTGCCGTCTTTAGCAAGGATGAGCGCCAAGTCCGCGCCCTTCTCAAGGCAGTACGTTCCGCTGTGACCCAGCCGGAAGAAAGCGCACCGATCAATGATGTCTTTGATCTGACTTGAAACCCTTGTTTGTGCTCAACCCTTGTCTTTCTTCCAGGGTGCCGACTACAACGTCAAAAACAACAGTGGCAAAGATCCCTTTGAGGAAGCGCTCGAGGATCAAAAGGCGGGCAAACTCTTGCTCGAGTTCATGTCCGTTTCATCCCCAAAACCTTGGCCCACCCTCGCTGCTGAACTCGACCTTGACCTGACCCCTATGCTATGCTTTCATGGTTCTCAGGCTGTGGGTAGAGCGTCGCGAAGGCACCCAAACACTCGCAACTAAACTTCACACACCTTTGGGGGCGCCACGCATTTACTGCTGGCTCGTTTTTGTGGCCATCATTTCGCCGTACTTTATGTACCTGACTCGGTTCGTACTCATGCCGCCAGCCAACATATGCCGCCACTTTGAGTCTGCACAATTATGCACATGGCACTAATGCGCCAATCACTCGCCCCCACCCCCGCCGCCTATTTCAGCATCATGCCAGTTTCAAGTCAAAATGACATTTTCTACTTTGGCGTGCTCAATCTGACAGCCTGGTACCTTTACTACCGTGCGGCTCACCTCAATCCTGGCGTTGTCGGCCGCAACGCTCAGCGGGAGAAAGAATACTTTGATGTCATACAAAGACTGGGTGCCAGCGGCTGGGGCACGGAGGCAGACGGCCACATGGCCGAACTCGCGGGCCTCTGCCACGATTGCAAGTTAGTCAATCATCTCCACACCACCCCGTGCACGCACCCTGGCGCACACCCCTCCCTGCACACACTGTTCTCTGAGCACGCTGATGTTAATAATGGACTGCCGGTGCTCGAGCAGGCTCGTCAAGCCCGGACGCACCTCACATGATCGCAACGGCTATGATCGCTGTGTGTGCGAGTAAGTAGCCTCATTCGTTGTTGGGCGCTCAGTGCTTGCTGGTATCGTGAATGCGCGCGTTAGTCCAACCATCCTAGCCTGATTGACTTTTTTTTTGCGGGTGCTTTTCTTGGCAGCTACGACCACTTTTGTGCGTTTATGCTCAACACGATTGGCGTCAACAACCGCCGGCACTTTTTTGCGGCCTGTGTTCTCTTGACTACCATCATTGTACATAGTCTCTACCACGTATGGTCGCTCGCTACTCCCACGCCGCACTTTTCCACTGATATCGTGTCATCATCGAGCAATGACATCGTGTGCTTTGAACGTCTGTAGTTTTTCTACCATTTAACGCCGGAAGAGCAAGCCTTGACCATCATGGGCTACTTCCATCTGGGCATCACGGTTTGTTGCAGCAATCTGCAGCGCTTCCTAAAGATGTATCAAAAAGACCCCTCATCTTGGCTTTTTGATTTCACCCGTCACAGATCTTCCTAGGTTTATTTTTGGCATACATGAGCTGGACCATGTTCTTAGCGGCTGCCTGGGGTACGTGAATGTCAACCGCCTCGTGCATTGGCAAAAGCCTGTTCTTGTGCATTGAGCATGACTCACCAAAGCTCTCACCTTTGCTTCAATCATATTAGGAACCAGTTACATCAAGGTCCGCAAGGGCCGATTCAAAGACCATCAAGCATACAACCTAGGTGTCATCCGCAACTTGATGGCTTTTTGCAGCAGTCAACCCCTGCCCCGTCGAGTTTGAACCCAGTCTGGGACCCGCTTTGCTCCCGAGAATCTGCATGGGTCCCTCTATTGCAATTTATACCCGAACAACCATCGTAGATTATCATTGTGACCTTCAGTTGCCTGATCTTATGTGCACTTGCTGGCTCGATCAATGTTTTGTAATTTTTTTTTGTAATTTTTTTTTTTTTTTTTTTTTTGTCTTCTTGTTCATCTCTCTTCTTCTCCTGTTAACCGGCTGTGATCCCCGCGCGACACCACCTGCATGTGCACTTGGGTATTCAAGATGTTTCTTAGATTTCTCTTCCTTTTTCGAATCACCCTTTGTTTTACATCTTTACATCGGTAGCTACCGGCACGGTATTGAACAGAGGACCAGATTCCAAGAATTTTAAAGGATGCAAATAGGTTGTTATGCTTATTATGCTAAACACTCATTTTGCTCAATAAGTTCTCATCTTTGAATTCTGTGATTCATGGGGAACCTGTTTTGCTTTGATCAAGAATAAAAGCATGCAGTTCTTTAAGACCAGCCATGTCATTGCAATGAATGACACACATAGCTCGACATTCTTGCTCAACGCAGATTGACAACCAAAACGAGTTAACTGTCTCATCTTTCTAGACACATGACAGACACATGACAACACATACGCACACACACACAAAATGAAGGCTTGGACGACAAATTTACATCTCAAAGTCGCTATCATTGTCGTCGTCGCTGGCGGAGAAAGCATCACTCTCGTCCAGAAGCTCCACGGCCTGCTCATCTTCCGACTCGACATAATTGACTTTGGTTGTGGCACGGCGGGCGCGGGCAGGGCGCTTGACTACAAATTGAGGAACACATGCGAAATGAGTACGACGCGCCATCAAAATTGTCTCCTCGGGACCAACAGCGCTGACCTACCAGGAGTAGCTTCGAGAACAGGCGCCTTATCAACGAGTTCCTCATCCTCACTGCCGCTCAGAGCATATGGGTCTTGAGCTTTAGCCTTGGGCTTGGCCGCAGCCTTTGACTTGGCCGCAGGCTTCTTGGTGGTGGTGGTGTTGGCGGCGGCGGTTTTCTTGGTTGCTTTGGGTTTGGCAGCGGCGGTCTTCTTGGTCGCCTTAGCCTTGGTGGCCGCGGTCTTCTTCACAGGCTTAGCAATGACTTCGGGAACGTACTCATCGTCCTCGGCTGACAAAAAGGCATCATCTTCATCGTCGGAGAGCACGACCGTCTTGCGCGGGGCGCGCTTGGCCTTGGCCTTGGCAGTCGTCTTGGCGACTGGCTTGTCTTCGACCAAAAAGTCATTTTCGTTAGCATCATCATCAGCCACAAAAGTCGCGATGGGGGCTTTGGTCGCAGCCGGTTTGGCCTTTTGCAGCCGCTTCGCTTTCAGACGGGCCATCAAATCCATTTCAGGCGATGACTCCGCGTCCACTGTTGAAGTGGAGGAATGGGCAAGCTTGGAGGGCGGGGATGAAGGGGCGCTGTCTGGGGCTCGCTCCACTGGCTTGGTTTTCTTTGCGGGTGCCTTGGTCGCCGGCTTGGCAGTCACATCATCAGCGACGGAGGAAGTCGAGGCCAGCTTTGCGCGAGCCTTGGGTGCAGCCGCGGGGCGCTTTGTGGTCTTGGTTGGAGCCCAATCCTCGTCATCTTCGGCCTCGTCCAAAGAGCGGCGCTTGGGCGCCTTCTTCTTGCGGCCGGTGCTCTTCTTGACAATCTTCGAGTCCTCAAGCTCGGCTGCCGCCTCGGCAGCATCGGCATCGCTCAAGGCCGCCAGGAAGTCGTGCAGATCAATTTTCCACAGGTCCTGAGGCGTCTTGGCCAGCAGATCTTGCAACTCGGTCTCGGCTTCGCTGCGCTCACCCTCGAGCTTGGATACCTTTTCCATCGTGAGGCTGTACAAGGGCATGCCTAAGAGGTAGTCATAATCACGGACGCCCGGCTCTTCCATGCCGTCGTCTGCAGCCGCCTCGTCGCCGTCTTGGCCGACCACGGTGGGCTTGGCCTTGCCCTTCTTTGGGAAGGGCTTGTAGTTGCGCGCAACAAGGTCAGCCAAGATATCCTTCTGCTTGCGGTTGCTGAGCACCAGGCTGCCGGTGATCACCTCCATGATGAAGCGCACCTTGTTGTCCAGGCGCTCGTACTTCTCCTGCAAACGATCAGCCAGAAGGGCCTTGCGCTGCTGATAGAGCCGCAGGCGCACGCCAAAGAACTCGCGCATGATTTCCGAGGTTGACTCGTACTTGATGATGCGTCCTTGGGAGTCGAAGAGCGTCATGTTGGAGGTGGAAAGGGAGCTCTCGAGCTTGAAAAACTTGTGCAGCCCCTTGGCTTCAGCTGCAGCCATCTGGGCCTCAGTCATGGTCACCACAAAGCGCACTGTCGTGTCAGTGTGATGCTGGGTAAAGTCGGAGATGCTGCCATTGCCCTTGCCGTCGTCTTGGAGTGTTTCAAGAAACTCCTTGTAGGATTGGGTCCACGTGCGCACGGGCAGCTCAGTGATTTCGAGCTGGGTCGGGCTCAGCTTTTCAATGCAACCACGCACAAGGAACTTGTCCGTCTTTTGCTGAATGATCTCACCCTCAAAGCCCTTATACCAAGGCACGAGGTCCGTAGGCTCCTCCCCGTCGATCATACGCAACAGGGTGTGGGCCACCTCGCGAGGGTTGTAGTTGGGAACGGAGGAGCTCCAACCCGTGCCAATGCCATCCGAGCCGTTGACCAGGACCATGGGCAGGATTGGTGCGTAAAACTCGGGCTCAATGGTCAGGCCATCATCCTCGAGGTAGTCCAGCAGATCATCGTCCGAAATGTGGTAGAGCTTGCGCGCCAGGGGGCTGAGCATGGTGAAAATGTAACGGGCGCTGGCAGCGTCCTTGCCGCCCTGAAGGCGCGTACCGAACTGGCCAATGGGTTGAAGCAGGTTGAGGTTGTTGCTGCCCACATGCACCTGGGCCATGTTGACAATGGTGCCTGCCAGACTCTGTTCGCCGTGATGGTAGCTGGAGTGCTCGGCCACATAGCCCGCCAACTGGGCAACCTTGATCTCAGACGTCAAGTTTCGCTTGAAGCAGCTGAACAAGACCTTGCGTTGGCCTGGCTTAAAGCCGTCCATGACGGAGGGAATGGAACGCACGTTGTCGGCCATGGAAAAGAGAATGAGCTCCTTGTTGATAAAGTCCGAGTAGCGAATGGCTTCTTGGGAGTGGTCCAGGTAAGTGCCGGCCTTGAGGTTGCGGAGCCACTCTTTGCGCTCCTCGACCATCTTCTTTGTGAAAGCCATTTTGATGGCATCAAAGTCCTCGTTGTCTTCGTAGCGGAAGGGCAGTTGATGCATGTCCATATTGGAAAAGTATTGCTTAGCCTCTTGCGGGGTGCTGGTACCCAGACCCTTGTAGTACTTGATCTTCCAGCCCTTCAAGGAGTTTTGTTGCTCGCACCAGGCCTCGTATTGAGGCAGTGTGAAGAAACTCTTCTCTTGCTTACCCTTGACGCACTTGACAATCGGAGTCACAAACTCGACGAGAAAGCCGTCGATTTGCAACAGGGACGGCCAGTAATGGTGCAGAAAGTTGATGAGTAGGCCCTTGATGTGGGAGCCATCCTGATCCTGATCCGCCATGATCATGAGCCGGCCGTAACGAAGCTGCTTGACCGAGTCGTACTTGGTACCAAACTTGAGACCCATGATCTGGCAAATGTACTTGATCTCCGCGTTATCCATGATCTGCTTGTGCGAAGCGTCGCGCACGTTGAGGAGCTTGCCACGAAGCGGGAACACGCCGTAATGATCGCGGCCAACGACACCCAGGCCACTGATGGCCAGAGCCTTGGCCGAATCGCCCTCCGTCAGGATCAGCGTGCACTTGTGGGCGTTGCGGGTACCGGCCTCATTGGCGTCGTCAAGCTTGGGGATGCCCGTCAGCTTGGACTTTTTGGTGCCACCGTGGCTGCGCGACATGGCGGCTTCGGACTTGAGCTTGGCAAAGTGAAGGATGTTGTCAACGACGCCCGAGTCGGCGACGCCCTTGAGGAACTTGTCACTTGGGCTGCAGGAAGAGCCAAAGTCCTTGGTCTTGCGGGTCATGTTCTCCTTGGTCTGCGAGTCGAAGCTGGGGTTGTTGATCAGGCAGTTGACAAAGAGGTACATGTGTTGGCGCACTTGGTGGGCCTTGACAGGTGCGTGCTTGTTCTTCTTCTTGATGACCTTGAGCAAGTGCTCCGTGAGTTGCTCCTCAACATGCTT